CAACTGTTCTTCTGGAAACCTGTGCTCCCTTAGAAAATACCACCATTCCAAGACCTAACTCACACCTAACATGGAATTATGTAATTCCATAAATGTTCAGACCGCCTTTGTAATAGTGATTGTTAATAAGTGTTGTACTTTGAAGAACATTAATAAGCTAGAAGTATCCAGAAAATGGTGATAAGAACAGTTACGAGGCTTAAGATTCAGTTTAAACAAAAACAAAGGTTCTAAGGACCTTTCACTTGTAGCCCTAAAGAAGACAAGACAGCAGTCCTGCCATAAATATCTGAGGAGCTAGCAAATAGCAAGAAACCAGATTTATGCTCTAGAATATAGAATAGGACCCTATGTGAGCTTATAGGAAAATCTATCAAAGGAAAAGAATGACTGCAACTGTTTACAAAGAAATGTGCTTCTTCAATAAGTAGTGACCTCTGCCCAGCCAGCTCAATCGTTGAGTGTTGATCCATGAACCAGGAGGTCATGCTTCGATTTCAGTCAGCACATGCCTGGGTTGCACTGCAGGCTCAATTCTGAGTAGGGGGCATGCAGGAGGCAGCCAATAAATGATTCTCTCTCATCATTGATGTTTCTATTCCTCTCTCCCTCTCCTTTCCTCTCTCTAAAATCAATTAAAACATTTTTCTTTTTTTTAAGCAGTGACCCATCATCTCTGGAAGAACATAACCAGAGGCATGATAATTGCATTAGTCAGGGTTCTCCAGAGCTAGCTGATAGATTATGGAAGCTGATAAATCCCATAATCCAGTCTGCAATCTGGAAACCAGGGAGAGTCTATGGTGGAGTTCCAGTCCAAAGGTGGCAGGCTAGAGACACAAGAAGAGCCTCACTCTGAGTCCAAAAGCAGGAGAAAAACGATGTCCCAGTTCCAAGGCAGGCAGGAGGAATTCTACCTCACTTACAGGTGAGGGGCTGGGGAGGCAAATCTTTTTGTTCTATTCAGGCCTTCAACTGATTGGATGGGGCCCACCCACATTAGGGAGGGCAATCTGCTTTACATAGTCTACAGATTCGAATGTTAATCTCATCTAGAAACACTCCCACACATACACCCAGAATAACATTTGAGCAAATGTCTGGGCATTTCATGGTGCAGTCAAGCTGACACAAAATTAACCATTACAATAATCATCTATCAAGAACACCACAGAAAGAATTTCTAAATTATACAAAGATATTGTAGTCAAAGGACCAGAAACCCTAGCCATCTCCATCCCGTAAGTTTTTCTCAAATATCAGCAAAGGAAAGCGATTCCTCTGATGATTATACTTGAGAACAGAGACCATTTTGCACATATGGCTTCTCCAATTCTAGACTTTGTTTTAGGGGTGGGGGACTAAATACATTCAGGAAGCTTGTACTAGGAATTCTAACAAAGCGATGGGGCTTTGCTGTGATCGATTAAGTATGACCACAATATTTTGCTACCGCTTCTATTAACAGGTATAGTCTATCTCCCCTCCCCTTGAATCTGGGCTAGCCGCATTACTCACTTGGACCAACAGAAGGTGATAAAATGATACTGTGCCTGTTCCAGGCCTGGCAGTTTCTTCTTTCTTAGAGCTCTGAATCAGCATGTAAACAGGTCTACCAAGCTATCCCTCAGAGGTCACACTGAGAGAAATGCCCAGTGAGTTTTCAGCTGCCCCAGCCACCACAGCGGAAGCATCAGACATCTAAAGGGAGCTATAGTGGACATTCTACCCCAGTGGAGCTCCCGGCTGAATGCAGCCACATGAACACGTCATACCACACTGAGAGATGAGCTACTCCTGCCCTATCCAAGTTGTACAACTACCAGCAAATGTTGTGTTTTAAGCCACCAAGATTTGGGGTGGTTTGTTACAGGAAAGAGATGCACTTATTTGGGACATCCGCAATCTTTGCACCAAGTAAGCCTTTTTGTTTGCTGGAATAGTCTTTGGTAGGATTTTGGCCACATAAGTCCAGGTGTCTATAGACTAGGTTTTGACATAGGAGATAAGAGTTATTAACTGTGATGTTTTGTTTTAAACGCAGTCATGTGGTCATTGACAGGCCACATACATGAAGGTGGAGATAAAATTCCTAGTGCCTAGTGATATGGTAGCTGTCATACCATCATAGCACAAAGGCTGCAAAAGTCAGCAAGGGTGAGGGTGAGATGGCCAACAACTTTAACCTGGGTGTGGATGAGGATGACTTTGAGAAGCTCCTTAAAGGTGGTTCCTAAGGAACTGACTAATGAGTTGTGGGAAATGGAACAGTAACACATAGCTGAAGAAGAGGCAAGGAAAAAGAAAACCAGAAGAAAAAGAAGACACCTCCCTCCCAAGAAAATTCAGTGAAGGGTGTAGCAGAAGCTTTTGCAGACCTCAGAAAGCTCATTAAAAAGTGTGAAAATATGTCTCTCCCTTCTTCTCTGAAATCAACAAAAATATATTTTAAAAAGCATTTTAAAAAGTGTGAAAACATGGACCCCAACATTGAAAGGTTTTCATTAATAGAGGAATGTTCATGGTTCATATCTGCCTACAAGCAAATCTATGAAGATGACGTTAATTTATTATTGGAAAAACATATATTTTAAAATTATATGTTTATTGATTTCAGAGAGGAAGGGAGAGGGGGAGAGAGAGATAGAAACATCAATGATGAGAGAGAATCATTGATCGGTTGCCTCCTGCAAGGCCCACACTGGGGATCAAGCCCACAACCTGGGCATGTACTCTTGACTAGAATCAAACTGTGACCTCCTAGTTCAGGGGTCCTCAAACTTTTTAAACAGGGGGCCAGTTCACTGTCCCTCAGACCGTTGGAGCGCCAGACTATAGTTTTAAAAAAAAACTATGAACAAATTCCTATGCACACTGCACATATCTTATTTTGAAGTAAAAAAACAAAACGGGAACAAATACAATATTTGTATTTGCATGTGGCCCGCGGGCCGTAGTTTGAGGACCCCTGTCCTAGTTCATACCATAGGCCAATGCTCAACTACTGAGCCACACCAACTGAGCTGCCCAACACAATTAGGAGAGAATGAAAAATTCTAGTTGTTAGTTTCTCCATAAAATTTTCTTTAGGTCAGAGAGAATAAATGGTTTCCTCTCCTGCACCAATTCTGATCCACTAGCAGTAGCTGCCTAACACACAGCACTGGATGGTTCTGGTGGGTGATGCTCCTGCTGTGACTGCAAGGCAAGGGAAGAAAGCACATGTGCTGGGATTCTTCTGACCCTCTGGTAGAAGAAAAACTCCAACTCATCAGAGAAGGGCTGAAGAGGATTGTTCCTGCTTTTCTAGTAATTAGCTGCTTGTATATAAGAGAAAGATTAGCACAAACCCTGATCGACAGTTCAGTACCTTGCTAGGCTATAATTTGTAACCAAAGGCAAGGGTATTTGGGTGGTGAGGTGAGAGTTGGAGCAAGCATTGAGTGAACTTATTTTCATAAGTATGCACTATATGCTCTTCATACTCACTATCTCATTTAACTCTAATAACCTAACTTCTGTTTTATAAAAATTAAAAAATGAGGCTCAGAAAGCTTCAGTTGTTCAAAACCGCACAATTCAAAGCCCAAGTAAGTCTGACACTAAAGCATCCCTAAATCATTTGTGTGGCCTATGACAGGATACACAGGAGAGAGGAGACTGTTCCTAGTAGGCCCAACCACAAAATTGGTAACATTTAACTTTCTCAGTAAAAATTATTTGTTTTGGGTATAAGTCTTAATTGAAGAAAATTACTGAAATCTATAACTCAAAGGATATTTTGATCTTGATATATCCAATATCTTGACACATATTGGATAAGTCTTGAATAAACAAGAAAATTTACTGTTTCCAGAGGTTTTGTAAGTTAAGTGAAAAATCAGGATGCATTTTCTATGGAATTAAACTATTCCCACTTATGAAACACTAATAATGAAATGTCCACAGAGTTTATATTTTAATTTCAGTGTTACAAATACCATTTTTAAAACAGAGCTAGTTTTCTGTATGTCAAAGCGTTATGGTTCAATTGATGAAGTGTGTTTGCAGCTAAAATAAAGTCACCAGAGTAAGAAAAATGTTTCAAATATCAGTTTATCACTTGCATATTAACAACAATAAAAATAAGGATTTGCTGACAAAAGAATTTTAAAATATTTGGACAACTATCACTGAAATTTTCATTTTGACATAAGATGCAGCAAAATATGTAAAACACCAAAACAAAGCACAAAAAGTTAAAATATTAAAAATTTTCTTCCATACTTGTTCATTACTAATCACATTTTCCTTTAACTAACTACAGTACCTTATAAGCTCCTGCATTAACAATTCAGGTTTATGCCACAAATACTTGCATTAAATAAATTTTAAAATAATAAGGCTTTATCTAATAAAAATTCAGTAGCAATTATTGAACAGGTCAACAGGTAGTTGTGCATCTAAATCTGATGAAATCTTAAAAAATAGAGAAATCTATCTGCACTTTTTGTGTTCTGGGAACATCAAGAGGAGTCCTTTATGTAGAATTCTCCCCATCTTATCCCTTGGCACAGACCCTGGGTTTTCCAGTGGCAAAGTCCTACATCCACCACAGGCTCCTTGAAGACAGGCTACTTGCTCTTTTTCCCAATAAGATGGCAGACATGAACCACTCTTTCATTCTCTGGCCTCCCCGAGCCCCTGCCCTCCACCCTTCTACATCTGCAGCTTAATCAAGTATTTTTAAAAATATTATTTTATATCCAAATTTCTTTACCACAGTCCATCTTCCATCTCTACACACACCATGTTGAAGCATGTTTGATATTGACAATTACTACAGTGTAACATTTAATAATACAAAAAAAGACAAATAGCCATAACTAAATGAATACAAACACCAAAAGCAAATTTGTACTTGTCAATTATGCAAATGTCAACTTCAGAGAGATCACTATTTTTGAATTCCAAGATGTTTAATGTAAACTGTTTTACAAAAACTAATTATAAAACACAAAGACAATAGAAATATAAGTTATTTATTAATCAATCCACTTACAAAGCAGGTGGCTTAATGCAAGCTTATTGACATCTTCACATATGATCCATGGGAACATGTCTTCCACATACAGACAGTGGTGTTACTGACTGATGCATTTGCAATCTGGGACATATTAAGCATATTTAAACAAATAAAATTAGGCTATCCTGTATATGAAAGCATCTTGATAATATGCATCTTGAAGTGGATTAAAACTTTCTCCAAAGGAGAAATGTTAGTATGTTAACTTAACTTTATATTCTATATTATGCAGTAAATCTTAACTATTGAAATTAAAAATTTTAAATCAGTGATCGACTCTTGGTTAATGTATGAAGTGGGAGTCTAAAATCAGAGCAACAGTAGGTTGACAGTATAATTTGTGCCTCACAGTATCTGCAGATTTACTGTTTTCAAGTTTAAAGAGAAATAAAACAAGAGACATGTAGATTCAGCTAACTTTATTTATCTTTAAACTAATAAAAATCCCTTAAAAGTGATCCTGGGACCTTTAGTATGAATGCATAGATAACTGCTAATGACTGCAATTCTAAATCCTGACTGAATGTGTGTACAAAATCAGTGTAAGCAGATATCTTTACTACACGTGCTTAGCAGAAGACTAAACAAATTCTACATGTCTTCTTCAATTTCCCCCAAATTTTGTTAAATCTGCAAGTATGTACAATCCAGCTAATTGAAATTAATATTTAGTGTTTATCAGAGCTGTTTCACAGCAGCAAAAACTGAACCAGGGAAATAAAGTTTTAAACGAAGTAGGAAAAAGATAAATATAATCAGAACAGCAGTTTAAATGTATAATATCAATATCAACTCTCTGCATTGTGTTGAAAGGAAAAGGATACACCAAGAAAATTTCTATTGATCACTGGTGATGTGAATACCACCTGCATCTGATTGAATATGGTTTGTATTCTGTTCCCAGTATTAAGGATGGTATTTAACTCAGAACTCCATATTGTAAATATACAGCAGCCATTTTGTCCTAATTAAGGAATGTCTTAATACACAATATTATCATTTTCTAGAGGATCTTTATACATCAAACTAAAGTACATGATTGATTAAATTAAAGGTTAGTAATGGATCAAAAAAATTCATAATTCTTAAGACCTGATACTATGTAAAAAACAAAAAGACCACAAAATTCTACTTACTAAAGCAGCTAATCTTGCCTGCAAGTTTAGGGTCACAAGCCCATAATATGTGCAAAGAAATGCAATACAAGGAACCATGCAAAAATACAGTAAAATGATACAGGAAAAATGTCAAATCTAGAAAAAAAGTTTTTATAAATACATCAAAATCAACTGTATACATAAACTGTAGGTCTAGCATTAGTTGTACCATATAGCAGAGCCAGCACTCTAAGTTCAAGGCTTCCAAATCTGCGCAGGTAAGTCATGCCATCTTTGGTTGAACTGCAGTACCGGGAGGATGGGAATGAGAGGGAGGGCAAGAGTTCTGAAACATGGTGTCAACTTTCACTTGGCAGCTGGGCTTCAATGTCCACTCTGCATATGGGGCACTTCTTATTGGTAATCAACCACTGGTCAACACACACTTGGTGGAAAAGGTGCATACAGGGAAGGCGTCTATTATAGGCAAACAAAACAAAAAGCAAAATTAATTTTATGATAACTGCATGTGGCATTTCCTTTTAAACAAATGATACGGGTAATTGTAATGTTTTTAAGTTATTAGACATCTTCCTCTTCCATTCAAAACAATAGAACACCTCTCTAATAAGAGTTACACCTATATTAAATTAACACTCTAAGTAATACAGTGTATAAATGAACAAGATAATTGCACAGCAATGAAACCAAATCATGTAATATCTCAATAATTTTAAGAACAATTACACTGGCAATTAATGCTATTTTTGTTTCTATATGTGAGCCGCCAATATACTGAAGTTGCCAGTACCTTCTTTGTTATGTAATCATTACAAAATCATTACATTATTGAAGTGCTTTAAATATATATAATTTAATTCTCTCTCAATAACATCAGAATTCATATTATAAATATTTAGCAGCCATGTCATACTAATTAAGGGATTTAATATCAATATTATTTTCTATCTAGAGGATCTTTACATATTAAACTTAAGTACATGATTGATTAAAGGTTAATATATTGTTTATAACATAACTGTTGCATTAACTGTTACAATTACTTAATACTATGCTACTTTTATAAAAGTAGGTTAAAAGGAGATGTTTACTTAAGTACACTACACTAAGTTATCAATTAGAAATTGAGAAATAAAAAAAAAACTAGGAAACCCAGGGTAACATTAAATCTAAGTGTAACAGTGGGATATAAGTTACTGACTTAAGTACCCATTCCTACTTCCATCTACTGTTAAGAGTTGTCATACATTTTCAGACTTCCTAATAGTTTGCAAAAATAGTAGCTAAAAAGAAGTGTTGCAATTACTCATTATTGACAATATTGTCAATAATGTAAAAACTATCTTCCATATTTATAAATCTTCATTGGAAATACAATGTTCAAAAAAACCTTATATGTGATATAAAAGACAATTGTTTATATTTGTCTCTCGGCCAATTGAAAAAATATGACAAAATTATCCTTATAAATTAGGGCAACAAAATTACCATATGGTTCTGTTACATATATATAGAACCTTTATATATGGGATTATGTTACATTAGAAAAAAAGAACTAGGAACAAAACAATTACTTAAGAGATTATAAGAAAATGCCTAAAATTAATATTGAGTTAATATAATAACATTTTCTAAATCACAGAGTTGCAAGAAGAGAGTAGTCCTACAAGTTAAGAGGAAATTTTAAGATAAAATTCATTTATAAAAGATGCTATAGCCCAACTGGTGTTGAGCGTCCACCTATGAACCAGGAGGTTACAGTTCAATTCCTGTTCAGGGCACAGGCCCAGCTTGTGGGCTCGATCCCCATTGTGGGGTGTGCAAGAGGCAGCCAATCAATAATTCTTTCTCATCATTGATGTTTCTCTCTTCCTCTCCCTTCCTTTCTGAAATCAATAAAAATATATTTTTTTAAAAGATGCTGTAAAATAAATTGTATGGAGCTAAACTGGATCTCCCCCGTCTCAGCCTCAAAAGCGTCTCAAATTCTCCTTTCCCCAAGATTTGTAGAAGACAATTTTGACCACAAAATTTCAATGGCCGACTCATGGTGTGGCCCCAAAATAGGCAGTATATTTCCCATCCCTTTATTGGCAAGATGGAGGCTTTAATCTTTTTACTCTTTCACTCACTATAAGAAGCCAATTCTATATGTCAGAGATTAGTAACAGGGTATGCCAGGAATAATCTTTATTTAGTTTCTAGTCTACTTTTAAATAAATATAATCTCGTACAGTTTTGACAACAGATTTTAGATAATTAGCATCTAGTTACCTCACATCTTCACCTTCCTCTAAAATAGACAAACAGATAGTACATTTTTCCTCTGTGTCCTCCTCAGTCCCTTCTTCCCCATCTTGTTTGCAGTGCAGTTTCCTCTGTGAGAACCAATCAGTTGTTACCTTGTTAGTAGAGATGACATTATTGAACAACTGAGTAAAGTCTGTGTTTATTTGAAATACAAAATAAAACAAAACCACACATTCACCCACAACTTATTTCCCAGGTTCAACTGTCATGAATTAATGGATGACTTAAGTGACTATCACCAACTAAATGTTTCATTATGACCCTTAAATAATCAATCAGCAGCAAAATCAAAGTTAACAGAAATTCATTAGTTCGAAATCTATTATTTTTAATCCACAAAAAGGATGATACACAATATAAACTCTCACTGTCCTATCATGAGCATAGCTACATAAACTTTATTTTACTAATGAATGTTTCAAAAAAAACATTCAAATTAATTAATGCTAATTATAGTACTTAGCTTAGACAGTTGAAAGGACTTAAATTTAATGCTAATACCCCATTAATACACTTAGAAAACAGATGAAAACTACAAAGAATAATTTTCACAATTTATTATTCTCTGTACAGCACAGAACATTGTTTGTTGAAAGAAACTTATTTAACATGTCTATTTCACAACTTCTTGATATACTACTACATAAGAAATTGGGGATAGAATATTAGAAATGTACATTAACTAAATGTCCATCAAAATAAGTGGCTGGTTAAATTACGGAATTCTGTATATGCTATTAAATAAAGAATATGGGTGATCTGTGAATGAAGATACAGAATGAAAAGAGAATGTGCCAAACTATGTGCACAGCAACCTCTTTGTGTTTTTTTTTCAAAGTGGAAGAAAAATAAATACATATGCACATTATTATAAATGTATAAAAATTATTGAAAGATTACCTAAAAATCCTTAACCATTATTTTTCTTCTGAGACGAAAGACTGGTAACAGTCATCAGGGCAATAAACTTCAGGGTATATATTTTTTTATACTTTGAATATTTTTAAGTATATGTATTTTTGTTTTAATAATAAATAATGTATTTGTTATAATGCACAAACTAAAAAAAAAGGTCCATATTAAATTTATCCATTTTAATAACAATGTAGATGTTTTACAGAGTAAATTCTTACCTTTTTGTATTTATGTGGATATGTACATCTTTCAATTGTTCCCTGGGATGCTCCACGATTGACATTTCCTAATCTTTCTTCCAAATGAATCAGTTCCTGAAGGTGAAGAATAATTAGAATTAAAAACCAGGATGATTATTCCTTAAACAGCACTGTCAATATTGTAAAAGAAATAAAGTTCCATATTTATAAACCTGCAATACAATGCAAATAGTGTTCAAAAAGCTATTAGTGCCTGAGCAGTGTGGCCCAGTGATTGAGCATCAACACATGAACTAGGTGGTCACGGTTTGATTCCTACACAGGCCACATGCCTGGGTTGTGGGTTCAATCCCCAATAGGGGGCATGCAGGAGGCGGCCAATCAGTGATTCTCTCTAATCATTGATGTTTCTATACCTCTCATCCTTTCCCTTCCTCTCTGACATAAAAATACACATTAAAAAAAAAAGAAGTGGTATGGAAAAATTATTGTTATAGATTAGAGCAACATATTCCCACATAGTATTATGTAAGTCAGTATGTATGCATGTACAGCAGGGGTGGGGAACCTTTTTTCTGCCAAGGGCCATTTGGATATTTATAATACAATTTTCAGGCCATACAAAATTATCAACTTAAAAATTAGCCTGCTATATTTGGTCAAACATTTAATTAACTCACCCCTAATATCTTGGCAGGGCCTGACCAAATTATTTCGTAGGCCTTATACAGCCTGAGGGCCAGATGTTCCCCACCCCTGATACAGACAATGAAGTCATTGTAGTAAAAGAGGGAAACAAATCAAGCAATTTTCTAAGTCCCACTGACTCTAACTTACAAACTGACATGAAGAAACAAAATAAAACTTTAAACCATATTTAAATGATTTGTTCTTCTGAAAATTCAAACAAGGAGATATTTACTTATAAAACTAAATTACTTAGGTTTCTTTTCCTCCCACAATCCTATATAATGAAGAGGTAATATGCAAATTAACCCTCACTCCCTCACAAGGGCTGCCTATGACCAGGCCAGCAGGGGGATTAGTGAGGGATGACCAAATGACTGAACAAGCAGGCTGTGTGGGGCGACTAGGCCAGCAGGGGGAGGAGGGGAGCAGTTGGGGGCGACCAGGCCAGCAGATGGGGCAGTTGGGGGCAAGCAGTCCAGCAGAGGGGCAGTAGGGGGCGACCAGGACAGCAGGGTGGGGGTGGGGGCAGTTGGGGGCAACCAGGCTAGCAGGGAGGGGGCAGTTGGGGGTGACCAGGAGGGCATGGGGAGGCAGTTAGGGGCGACCAAGCTGGGGGGGAGGGGGGGGTGTTTAACTTTTAGGCCAGGAATCGGGCCTAAACCGGCAGTCAGACATCCCTCGAGGGGTCCCGGATTGGAGAGGGTGCAGGCTGGGCTGAGGGGAACCCCCCACCCATGCACCAGGCCTCTAGTATTTTTATAAAAATTAAGCTTAGTCAAAAGCATTAAGCCCCTGCCCCCAACATTTCATAGTATGGTTCTTTGTCTGATATTTATGATTTTGTACATTTCTATATTTCTTTATATTAGGTTATTTTCATTTACTCTTCTTTAAATGCTTGGGTAATTTTGGTTTTGTTTTGTTAATCCTCCCTGGAGGATATTTTCCCATTGATTTTTAGAGAGAGTGGAAGAGAAAGGGAATGACAGAGAGAAACATCGATGTGAGAGAAACACATCGATTGGTTGCCTCCTGCACACGCCCTGATCAGGGCTTGGGCCGACGCTCTATCCACTGAGCCAAACTGGCTAGGGCTCCTTGGGTAATTTTTGAACTAAGATTAATACTGTTTATAAACCACAGTCCCTAGAAGAAATATCAGAAATTCAGACATTTTACCGTCTTCTGCCTTATTGTCCAGTCACAGAGGCAATCCTATACAACTGTGAATACTAATAACACATATATTTTCTACCTACATTAATGATTCTGTGGCAAATAAATTCATTAATTTTATTACATACCTCAAAATTGCCCCTGAAAGGACCTCTAAATGACGTTCCATCCAATCCTGATGAAATGTAACGGATGTGAGGGTAGCCTGCCATGTCAGGAACCTATTTTAACAGAGGAGATAAGTTAAACCAATTAAGCACAGGCTAGAGTTCTACTGTTAACATTGAATAATTCAGACACTCAATTCTCTCCATTCACCTACTCACAAAATTCAACTTTAGTAAGTCTATATAATTCCAACTAAGCATTCTATAACAGGGTTAGGTTCCTCTTCAAATATAATCTTGTATATAATAGCTCTTAAAATGTAATTAGATGAAAAAGAAGAAACAGCTGTCCCAAGAAATAACAGCTTTCTTATATTTGACTACAGGCCCGATGCACAAAGATTCGTGCAAGAATAGGCCTTCCTTCCCCTGGCTGCTGGCACCAGCTTCCCTCCAGCACCCAGGACCCGGGCCTTAGCTCTGGCCGCCACCTTCCACCTTTGCTCTGGCCCTGCCGCCATCCTGTAGCTTCTGACATGCCCCACCTCCCCTCTCATAGCAGGTGTCCCACGTGGCCTTGGCCGCTCCGCGCCTGCGTGCACTGTCCAGAGGCCTGGAACAGCCGGGGCAAGGTGGAACGCCTGTGTCATCATCATGGCGATGACGCAAGTGTCCTGGCCTGGCCACCACCATCTTTGTCACATCAATTTGCATATTCCCTCCTTATTTGCAGTGGATGCTGCCATCTTTGTCGCTGAGTGTCAATTCTATGTCACTTTGTCTATGTTAATTTGCATATTCCATCTTTATTACATAGGACCCTTTGTGCAAAATGAATCCTAAGTATAAAACACCCAAACTTAAGACTGATAGTAGCCTAAACATAGAGTAAAATTTGCATAAGATTTTATCAGTTTCCAAGAGCATTATTAAACAGTATTAAGGAGCAAAAATGCAGAAAAATTTCAAACAAAACTTTATTTCCTGTCCTCTAAAGCAGTGGTTGGCAAACTGTGGCCCCTTGACTGTGGCTCTTCCACAAAATACCACATGCAGGCGCGCATGTACAGTGTGATTAAGGCTTTTGCATATGAAAGGCTTGGCCCTTTGCAATCTGAAAATTACCTAACAAACTGCAGCTGGTTCGGAGAGACCCAGAACTTCCAAAAGAAGGCCCAAGGCCCCACAGCAGCTTGCACTGCTTCACAGCTGGGCCTCATCTGGGCACCTCCAAACCCCAAACAATGAAGAGGAATCTGCAGATCTCTCCATAGCTCCTGCCGGGTAGCCTCAGGCAGAGGCTAAATTAGCACCTCCTTAGAAATCCAAGAGCCAGTGTACCCAGTGGTCAGAGTGGGACCATCCAGATTACAACTCCTCAGATCCATAAGGGACACACTGAGGGGGCAGACTCAGTGAGCACCAAAGCCCCACTGAAGCAAGTCTTGACCCAGAAGGGTGTCTTCAGCACAGAAGTTCTCCCACTGTAGACACAGCTGATTCTCACAGCCAAGTGGCCTGGAGGTCAATTCCTCCCAGTGATACCTACAACAATCAAGGCTTAACTACAACAAGACTGTGCACCAAGAGTGTCCACCTCAGGTAATTGGGGAGGCTGAGCCACTGGACCCTAGAGGACACCTAGCACAGAAAGCCACTCTATCAACACAGGGAAGCATAAAAAATGCAGAGACAAAGAAACAGGTCACAAATGACAGAAATGGAGGAAAGCAAACTACTAGATATAGAGTTCAAAACAACACTTACAAGGTTTTTCAAGAATTTTCTAGAAACCACCAATAAATTTAGTGAGACCCTCAAGAAATCTAGTGAGACCCTCGAGGTTATGAAAAAGGACCAACTAGAAATTAAGTGTACACTGACTGAAATAAAGAATATTATACAGAGTTCCAACAGCAGACTAGAGGATCCCAGAATCAAGTCAAAGATTTGAAATACAAAGAAGCAAAAAACACCAAACCGGAAAAACAAAAAGAAAAAAGAATCCAAAAATACGAAGGTAGTGTAAGGAGCCTCTGGGACAATTTCAAGCGAATCAACATCTGAATTATAGGGGTGCCAGAAGAAGAGAGAGAGCAAGATATTGAAAACCTATTTGAAGAAATAATGACAGAAAACTTCCCCTATCTGGTGAAAGAAATAGACTTACAAGTCCAGGAAGCGCAGAGAACCCCAAACAAAAGGAATCCAAAGAGGACCACACCAAGACACATCATAATTAAAATGCCAAGAGAAAAAGAGAAAGAGAGAATCTTAAAAGCAGCAAGAGAAAAAAAGTCAGTTACCTACAAGGGAGTACCCATACGACTGTCAGCTGATTTCTAAACAGAAACTATGCAGACCGGAAGGGAGTAGCAAGAAATATTCAAAGTGATGAATACCAAGAACCTACAACCAAGATTACTTTACCCAGCAAAGCTATCATTCAGAACTGAAGGTCAGAGAAAGAGCTGCACAGATAAGAAAAAGCTAAAGGAGTTCATCACCACCAAACCAGTATTATATGAAATGCTGAAAGGTATCCTTTAAGAAGAGGAAGAAGAAGAAAAAGGTAAAGATAAAAATTATGAACAACAAATACATATCTATCAACAAGTGAATCTAAATATCAAGTGGATAAATTATCTGATGAACAGAGTAAACTGGTGAATATAATAGAATCAGGGGCATAGAAAGGGAGTGGACTGACTATTCTGGGGGGGTGAGGGGTTTGGGGAGTGCGGGAAGAGACTGGACAAAAATCGTGCACCTATGGATGAGGACAGTGGAGGGTGGGAGGTAAGGGCAGATGGAGGGGTGGGAACCAGGTGGAGGGGAGCTATGGGGGGGAAAAAGAGGAACAGCTGTAATACTCTGAACAATAAAAAGATTTAATTTTTAAAAAATCAATATTGAAGTCCTGGCCTGGTAGCTCAGTTGGTTAGAGCTTCATCCCGATACACCAAGGTTGCGGGCTCGATCTCCAGTCAGGGCACATACAAGGATCCAATGAATGTATCATAAGTGCAAAAACCAATCAATGTTTCTCTCTCAAATCATAAATAAAAAATTTTGAAAAGATCAATATTGCCAGCAGATAACCTAACCTCCTACACATCTCCAAGGAGAATGAAAAATCAGACAGGAACTCTGACCCCCAAATTATTTAAACCTGTACTTCCCTATAAACCTCCCTAGTCTCCTTTTTCTAGCATTTATGAATTAGCTTCCTCTTTCTCCTCTCAAAGTTCATCTCTATAACCTGTTCCCATCTTCTCTTATTCTCCCACCCTGGGTATGTCACCCCTCTCTTCTATAACTTCAAACAAGTTCTCTTTAATGTTGTTATCTTAAACCTAAAATAATTCAAGTTTCTCTAAATTGAAGTTATCTTCTTGAACCTGAAATAATTTTCAAGCCTATTTCCCTTCACAGCCAAGCTTATATTCAATTCTAGTAGTTTATATAAATTTTTCATATTTTAAAAATATTTTTGTTGATTTCAGAGAGGAAAGGAGAGGGTAAGGAAGATAGAAACATCAGTAATCAAAGAGAATCATTAATCAGCTGCCTTCTGCATCTGCCCACTGGGGATGGAGCCTGAAACCTGCCCTGACCAGGAATCAAACGTGACAACCTCATTCATAGGTCTATGCTAAACCACTAAGCCACAGCCATACTAGGCTGTTCAAGTACTTGATATTCACTGACCTCACATTTTCACCTTCCTTACTGGAATCTAAGAAGCACCTGATTCTCCATTTTTCACTATTGCTAAAACCACTCTGAAAAAAGTCACCAATAACTACTCCAATGCCAAATAAATGCATTACATATTTTTCAAACTTTATTTTTTGGGGGTGAGACACTACTGACCATATTATTTTGACATTATTCTTTTTTTCTTATTAAAATCCTCACCTGAGGATGTTTTCCCACTGATTTTTAGAGAGAGCGGAATAGAGAGGGAAAGACAGAGAAAAATATCGATGTGAGAGAAACATATTGATTGGTTGCCTCCTGCATGTGCCCTAACCAGGGCCAGGTCGGGGAGAAGCTGCAACTGAGGTATGTGCTTTGACTGGAATTGAACCCAGGATGCTTTGATCCACAGGCCAATGCTCTATCCACTGAGTCAAATAGGCTAGGGCTGACATTATTCTAACTTTGTTCCTCCTCTGATTCTCTAGCCAGTTCTCCAAATCCTATTTCAAGTACAGTAGTATCATTCTTCACATTCTACATATTTTTCCTGGAAGTTTAATCTTCTTCCATAGATTCACATATTATGACAGATATGTGACACATATATATTATTATACTAGAGCCCCGGTGCATGAATTCATGCATGGGTGGGGTCCAGCTGGCTTGCCCCGATCAGGCTGGCTGGCCAGCTACAGTGGGTGTCATAGTGACCAGTCACAAGCTTTTTATATATATAGATATTGGCAGAGCACAATATCTCTAACTCAAGATATGTTTATGATTTGAAAGTTCAGACCATAAACTTAACTTCCTACTGGACATTCCACCTTGATACACACAGTTATTTAAGATTCAATATATCCAAAACCTAACTCATCTAGCCCCTTTCTTAAACCCTCATCTAATATTCTCCAACTCAGTGAGTGGCACCACTATGCACCTAATAATCCAAGCTAGAAATCATCCTAAATATTACTCAAATGTGTCCCATCATTTTTATGGCAACTGCTATTGCCTTTGTTCAGGAATTCATCACTTTACCTCTTCTACTATAAGTCTTAACTAGTTCCTTCCACCCTGAAATCTATTTTCCACACAACTGAGAAGGTGGTCTTTCTAATTACAAGCTGATTTAATCACTCTAAAACATAAATATAATCAAGATGTTCTCTTTTCCAATGGTTCATTGAGTACAAGTTTCTTGGCAGGGCAACATTATTTTGTATTGCTAAGTTTCCCTCACCCTTAAGATCTAGAAGTTCTAATTTACTTGGAGTTGCTTGACTTATGCTATTTGACAGCTCTTCTTTTTTTTAAAAAAATTCTTTATTAGTTAAGGTATTACAAATGTGTCCTCATCTCCCCCCCCCCCAATTAAACCCCCATCCTCCCCATCACACTCATGCTCTCATCCCCCAGTTGTCCATGTCCATTGATTTGGCTTATATGCATGCATACAAGTCCTTTGGTTGATCTCTTCCCCTTGCCTCCTCCTTCCCCTACTATCCCTCTGGGGATTAATAGTCTGATCGCTGTTTCTCTGTCTTTGGATCTGTCCCTGTTCATCAGTCTATGTTGTTCTCTATATTCCACAAATGAGTGAAATCATGAGGTATTTATCTTTCTCTGACTGGCTTATTTCACTTAGCATAATGAAAGATCAACGATGAGAATCATTGATTGGCTGCCTCCTGCACGCCCCCTACTGGGGATTGAGCCTGTAACCCCAGGCATGTGCTCTTGACCGGAATCGAACCTGGGACCCTTCAGTCTGCAGGCTGACGCTCTATCTACTAAGCCAAACGGTCAGGGCTATTTGACAGCTCTTTATAGGCTGTGGCCACTGTAAGAGCACCATTCTCAATTCCAAAGCCTGTTCAGAAGTCATATGCATAATAAAGCATCTCGGAAACCCTTCCCTGCAGTGTCTCTACCAGCACAAAACCAAACTACTCCCTTCTCTGTACCACTTTTATGTACACTTTTATAACTAGTATGTGTTATAAATAGCAAACTCAGTAAATTTTTGCTGAACTTGTTCTTTGGATCTCAAACTGGTATCAACAAAATCTGAATCTGTTCAAATCAGATACAGAGAATTAATAGTCCTGAAGACAAGAGAATAATAAAGTACAAATACATCAGAACAAATTACTATTATGAAAAATAAATCACGTTTTAATGACAATGGACCAAGATTGTCATCTTTGAATAAAAGAAAAAACGTAGTCATTTTTACATTAAGAAGAGTTCATTTTATAATACAAATACAGATTTTAATGTACCCAATACATTTTTATAGCAAATTTTCTCTAACAATTCTCAAGTTCTATTAAGACACCCACAACAACTAATAAATTAAAACACATCTCCAATAAAATATTTAACTTAGAAAAGAAGGAATACTTTTAGGAGAATATATCAGAATTTTGCAAATTTCCTATTTTACCATTAAAGGAAGTGCTCCTAATTGTAAGTGATGAAGTCGAGGTGGTGCATGGTAATGGGCCAAGTGAGGATGCAATGCTCCAGGTGTGTAAGTAGTTGCAGTCACTCCAGCTTCAATTCCCAGTTCCCTGGCAAAGGATGAGAAGAGTTTAACTTTTAGACATCCTTAGTGTCTTTATTATCAACAAAAATGAGGGAGAAAGTAATTTAAGTTTTAATGTACATAAGTTGAGAAAAAGATAAGTTAGCCCAAAAGATTTAACTCATAATTTCAAATTCATTGCAGAAATTAAAACTCAAAAATTCAATTCTGTGACCATGAGACCCAAAGCAATTTGGACAGTTTCACATCTTACTAAGGAAAGCAATACAGTTGACGCTTGAACAACATTGGTTGGAAATGCATGAATCCACACCCGTCTTGTTCAAGGGTCAACTGTATACTGAATGGTCCCTAAGGTTCCTTCCAAACTAAAAGTCTGATTCTACTTGAGGAGCATACAAAGCAGAGTTCACATTTTTGTTTACATGAATGTTACAGATGTTACAGTGGCTTTTGTTTGTTGGCATCAAAGATAATCAGAAGAGCAAACACTTCTGTAACTTATAAAGCAAGGGTATACAAAATTTTACAAATAGTAATATTGGTAAAGGCTAAATATACTCTCATTTTATATTTTGCCTCAAAAGTCAACTGTGGGTCAAAATCTCAACAACTGCCTACAAACAACTGTTTCAGAAAGAAAATTAAAGCAAATCTGCTTTCATTTCTCTAGGAAAAGACCAGAAACCTAGGAGGCTGGATTTCCCTTGTCAACAGCAGGGGTTAAGGGTGAGAAAGCAAATTTGAACACAACGGTAGATAAAAAAGTTGTGAAAAGTAGGATTCACTTATGGAGTTAACTTTGATGATAGAAACCCCTGAAAAACAACAACCAAAAAAGCTCTACTCTTGTTTAACATGGTTCCCTGATCCAGAACTCAAGCTCCTACTCTTTCATCTCCAGGTCTCTTTAACTCACCCATAGTCAGTGCCTCAAAGCTAAGCTGCAATTCAGTTTCTCCACATCATCCTTTTGTATGGCATTCCACTACAAAGCATCTCTTCCAGCAGTTTTACCACAAGATGCTGAGCAGAACTTTAAAATAAACAAGATACTGACCAGGCGGATCTCTCTGGAGCCTGTCGAGGATGTGAGGACATTGTCTGAGGCACATGAATATGATGCCCATGACCATAGTTTGGGTGCATCCTATGTGGATGGGGTGGGGGGCGTTCATGTGCCCGCCTGGAAACACAGAACATAAAAAGACCACTGGAAATAATTGAATAATTGGTTATTTCTTAATGTAGAAAACAATCTGGTATTAATAGTACAAACATCTATAGATTAGTCATAAAATTAACTATAACAATAAATTATAGAAATATAACACAAAATTAATGATTCATAATATATCAAGAAACCCTAGCCCACAAAATTCTTACTGCCCATTTATTATAATGCCTCCAATTCAAATATCATCCAAAGAAAAGGGCAATTTTAACATTATCTAGTATACCTTCTTTACAGTAGATATTTTGAATAGAATAGTAGGAATGGAATAAAAATATAATTTTAAAAATTAAATACCCCAGCAAATGCTGCAGGCACAAAGAGGTTATTTTATGTAAACATATAGGGCAAGAAAATGGAAGCTATTTGTTTGCTTCACTTTTATGTTATAACAACATTCATCCATTTTAATGGATAAAACTTTTAAGAGAAAAACATTTTGACCTTGTTCATTTTTTTTAAAAAACAGATGCCGAGTACATGTTAGCATCATTTGAATTAACATCTGAGAAAGTGTTACTACTCCAGTCACACTCTTTATTCTTCATCCCAGCTTATTATATCTTCTCTTTCTAGCCTTAAGTCAGTCGAACGTACAATTGTAAATGGCCATAAAGTTCTAAGTACTTATTTAAAAAAGTTCCAGGTAGTAATTCTTATTCTAATTCTTATTTTCTATTAGTTTTTAACATAGTTACAGATTTTGAATCTCTATTACAAAAAGTAATTTTCTAAATACTAGATGATCTGAATGTTAAATTGGCAACTTTCTATATAAAAGGTTACTATATTAGAATGGCAATAGCAGCCAGAGATTCTGGATATAATCTTAAATTATGTAACTAAAGCAAAAAGTTACACAAGTGCTAAGTCATTAGTTAGATCAACAGTTTTGCAAATACATTCTGTAAGGGCCAAGTAGTACATATTGTTGGCTCTTAGGCCACCTGGTCTCTGTCTCAACTACTCAACTTAGTCTTTGCAGTGTGAAAAAAGCCACTGACAATACATAAATGAACAGGTATAGATGTTTTCCTATAAAACTTTATTCACAAAAACAGGTAGGCAGAATTAGACCAACAGAGTTTACTGCGCTGAATTAGAAAATCAGATCCTGAATTTTCAAAAGAAAACAAAAAGTTCAATTATAGTTTTTGCATGTTTGTGGAGTACAATATTTTGATATTTAAATTTGTAAATAAAAACTAAAGAAGACTATTTTTTCAATACCAGTTGATAATGCTAATACTGTTCTGCCCTCTGGTTGATAATATATAAATCAAACTATATCTATAATAACGTTATATCTTTTTCCCCTGAACCATCAATTGTAACATTTATCTTTACTATGGAATACTGAGGAAACAGGCAAAGAAGGGATTGGTTTGCACAAGTAAATGACCCTGGATACTATCCTGAAAATGGTTTGATTTCATTAGATGACCTGATATAAAATTGTTTTGTCAACCTCTACAACTCAGGATAAGAGGAAGAGTCTAGTTAGTAAAGAATTAATTTTCTTTTAAATTGAGGATTTAATACAGTTCTATCACTTCTACAGGTTTTATAGTTTTAAAGACCAGTGGAGATAGAAGGGAATGCAGTAAAGTGTGATTATCTTTTTAAAAGTATAAAACCTACGTTGGATGCTGCATCATCCTCCTCCTTTGAACTTCCATCCTCTGCATTACTTCATGAGGATGCAGTCTCTGTGCTGGAGGTGCAGTGGCTGGAATATGGTGTGAAATCGGCTGGTGTGAGGGAGGAAGATGTTGAGGGATTGGTGCAGCTGCACTGGCTAAGTGAGTTGGGGGTGGGGGTGCCACTGGGTGAGATGTTGTATGAGAAGACATCTGAGAATGGAAAGCATGTACAGGATGAGGAATAACGTAATCCACTTGAGGTGGAGGCTGCGTCTGAGGAGGAGGGTTTCCATGAGAGTGGGGGCAGGCAGAGGCTTGATGATGAAGTGGTCTTGTTAAAGAAGCATCTGTAAAGAAACACACAGGCACCATGCAGTTGAGCACTTATTGCTATTACCCATCCCTACTGGATTTTACAAACATATTAGCACATACTTAACTTTTTTTTAATTTCTTAAAGTATTACAAAGAGTATTACACATGTCGCCTCCCGCCCACCCCTTGACATTCCCCCGTCTAGCACATACTTAATTTTAATGAATACTTTATCAAGTCTGTTCAATTTCGCTCTGCATCCTTTCTTGGAATAATCTTAGATATATTCTCATGTCAATACATATATCTTCACTTCATTCACAGTCTCACAGCATTCTATTATGGGAACGTACCAAGATTTATTGAAGAAATTGCCATTGATAAAAATTAAAAGCTAGCTAAAATTAAAGTCAGAGTAAACCATGGACTGTAGTTAATAATAATGTATCAATATTGTTTAATTAATTTTAACAAATGTACTATAATAATGTATGATATTAGTAATAAGGGAAACCAGATGTGGGGTATATACAAACTCTGAGCTACTGTCTCAATTTTTCTGTGAATCTAAAACTGTTCTAAAAAATAAAGTCTAATATTTCTTTAAAAATTGAAAGCAACCCAAATGCTGTAATACACATCTGTGTATGGTCCTCCTATGTTGCTCACTCATATGTGCATGTACGTAAGTGTATATGTGCGCACGCGTGCACAGAGACATTATTCATGGACAATTATTGTAGAATAAATTCCTATAAGTATGTCTGAGTCTAAGAGAATAATCTAGATACCAGTTGACAAAATACCCTTCCCAAAAGGTTACAGAAATTATATTTCCACTAACAGTACATGAGTGGGTCTGATTATCCCTACACTATCAATAAATTTTTAAGATGCCAATCTGAGAAAAATCTTCTATTTATTAACCACTTATATTTCTTCCCAGAAATATCTATTCATATTCTGAGCCTCCTGTTCACCTTTTCTTGTTGATCTGTAAATATTCTTTGTATACATGGAAACGTTCTCATAATAAGGTATAAACATTTTTCTGAATTTTCTTTTGTCAATTATATTTTGCCATTTACAATTTTTTTTTTGCTTTTGTTAAGCCAAATGTATGTTATATATTTCTAAATACATAAATCTTCTTTGCTTTAGGATTTACTCGTTATAGAGCACTAGAGAAAGGCAAGACGGCAAAGACATTCTTTAATTGCTGCTCTTCTCTTTCCCCACCCCATGCCATTTTTCCTGTTACATTAACTCTTTGAGTGCCAACCAATATCCTAGGAACTATGCTAAAATTGCCAAGGCATTTTTGCTGATTTCACAGCAGTTTAGGAAATAATTATGAATCGCAAGTAAATGAAGTTACATATTCAATATCTTCCAAAAAATCGTCATCTTCACAGCAAGAATTGACATATTTAGCAATATCATCATCACTAATAAAAGCAGACTTAGAACTGGACACTGCAGGAGGAACGCGATAGCACGCTCCCGGCACTTTTGGCGAAAGACAAGAAAGAGCGCAATCGCGCTCCCCGGCACTCTAGGGGTTAAGAAAATGAAAGAGACAGATTTGCCAGGAACATGCCATGGAAATCAGCCCTTCATACAGATAATTTCCCCCATATCTTTACTCTAAATCTTTGTGTTTCAAAATGACTGGTGAAAGGTCCCTCTGAAGACTATTCTAAGAGAGATATACAGCTGTTTGAAGTCTAAAAGTATGCTGGTCTCTCACTCATTCATGGATAATAAAGACCATTATAAACTTATGAACAATAATAGATACAGAGGCAGAGCTGCCTCAAACAGATTGTCAAACTGCAGCGGGAAGGCCGGAAAGGGTTGGGGGGCAGGAGGGAGTGGGGTAAGAGATCAACCGAAGGACTTGTATGCATGCATATAAGCATAACCAATGGACATAAGACACTGGGGGGTAGGGGAGGACGGGGGATTGTCAAGGGCGGGGGGAAAAAAAAGGACACAGATGTAATACCCTTTGTAATACTTTAAGCAATAAAACTTAAAAAAAAAATAAAAAATAAAAGTATGCTGGTCTCCTCCATGAATTTGAGTTTGAATGTGGAAGATTTTCTCAGTAGTCTGGTATGAAGCTATGGCCATTCTCTAGTTTCATTCCAGAAGAAATTCCTTCAATTCTTCATTCTTTTGATTCAGTCAGCAAGTAACCATGAACACTCATTCAGCTAAATGAAACCTTGCTAGCATGTATTTAAAAGAAACATTCAGTAGCTCAACAGGGTTGTAAGACAAATTTTTAAACTGATTATTTTTTTTAAAGTTATATTTTCAAATTAATGCTTCAGGAAGTCACCAAACTCAGTACTTCTTGATCATAAAAAAAAGTCACTGTTTTATCATTAACTATCTTTTCTCAATTTTAGAACATTTTTCCAGTTTCATCTCAAAGTTTTCTATTTCTGTAATCGTTATGCAAAAAATATTCACAAATATTACAAAATTTTGAAGTTTTGCTTCAGAATGAATTTATTTAAGTTAAACTCTTCAACAATCATTTTATTTTTCAGCTTTATTGAGGTATAATCCTATACAATAAAAGCCTAATATGCTAAGTGTCCGGTCGAAAGGTCAGCTGTTCAACCAATCAAAGCGTAATATGCTAATGATATGCTAAGGCCACTCACTGCTCGCTATGATGGGCACTGACCATCAGGGGGCAGACGCTCCAACTGGTAGGTTAGCTTGCTGCTGGGGTCCAGCTGATCGGAACTGAGTGAGATAGAACGCGCTGGAACCCTCTCTGCAGTCCCTCCCCGGCTGGCCAACCTCCCACGTCTCTCCCCGGCCCCGATCATGCACCGATTGGATCCTCTGGCCTGGCCTGTGCCCTCTCGCAATCCAACCCCTCAGGGGACGTCAGAGAGCTGGTTTCAGCCCAATCCTGCAGGCCAGGCCAAGGGACCCCAAGGTGCAAAAATTCGGGCACCAGGCCTCTAGTTAACAAATACAACTGTATATATTTAAGGTGTACAATATGATTTGGCATACGTATACTTTATGAAATAATTATAACAATAAGGTTAACACATCCAATCACGTCAGATATTACCATCTTTTTCTGTGTGGTGAGAATATAAGCATCATTATAATCACTATATATCTAAACAAAACAGATTGCTAACCATTGTGGAAAAATACCATCTACAGATTATTTCTCTTCCTTCCCTATTTTATGTGTTCTTGCGAGTTAAAAAAAAAAAAAAAAAGTAAGTTACTGATATTCAACTTCCTAAAAGTTCAATATGTCACTTTGACCCAGCAATCTCACTCTTAGGAAGTTATCCTACAGATAGATTAAAAAACTACAAACAATCGCCCTGACTGGTTTGGCTCAGTGGATAGAGCGTCGGCCTGCGGACTGAAGGGTCCTGGGTTCGATTCCAGTCAAGGGCATGTACCTTGGTTGCAGGTACATCCCTGGTAGGGGGTGTGCAGGAGGCAGCTGATCGATGCTTCTCTCTCATCGATGTTTCTAACTCTCTTTCCCTCTCCCTTCCTCTCTGTAAAAAAATCAATAAAATATATTTTTAAAAAACCAAAAAACTACAATCAATTTAAATGTCCATCAACAGAGGAACTGGTAATGGAATATTATAAAGGTATTAAAAACAATGAACTAGATTTTTATGTGCTAAAAAATTTCCGTTTATGGAAAAAATCAAGGCATTATTAAATTTAAAAAACATCAGGAATCCAAAAGCAAGAGGCAAATAATGTTTAATATGATTCCATTTTTTAAATATATATACTTGTATGTTCAAATAAAATTTCTAAAAGGTTTTATAAACAGTTGTTATCTCTATGGTGTTAAGATTAGTAGGATGTGGGGAGAAGGGCTTTTAACTTCTCATTTTATATTATTCTGCAGCTTGAACTTCTTAGGATGTACACGTTATTTTTATAATAAATCAAATTGGTCTAAAACATTTATTTCTTCATTAGGACATTAAAAAGGATGAATTCACTATACGTTGCCTCACTATATTATTTAAAGGAGATGGGCAGAAAACCACACATTTTGAGTATTTAATAAAAGATGATCAGTTGAAGATGAATATCAACAAATATTACAAATCTGTATAATTTCATACCAGTGTTCATGTACAGAATCTGTCCATTTGTCAATGCTTTGCAAAAACTGTTTCAAAACCTGTTTTCTAGCTTACATTTTAAATGTTAAGTTGCATTATTGTAAAAATAAATCATGTCACCAGGTTTTACTGTACAAATTCTGGTTTGACTCTAGTTATATGTAGAATACAAACTTAAAAAAATTAGAGGAATGAAATAAGAAATCTAATGATATATATAACTGAAAATGATCCTTTCCATGTAATCAGAATAAAAGCCTGGTTTATTCCTTGCATAAATTTTCAGTTCTTAAATCAAAGTACTTATTAAATTTCCACGATTACTAGCCTATGATTTAATGAAGTAGTAAATACATGTTACATAGCTTTAGGTTATTTCTTATTTCTGATATCTTATAGATTTCAATTTCTTTAAAAAAGTCATGTCTGATTCTATTTTAATTGCCTGCATTACTGAATATGGAAACCTTTTGTAACTGGTAAAGCTTTTGTCAAGGAATTCTAATGCCTCAGTTAAGTTTCAGAATTCTTTTTTTTTTAAAATGTACTTTATTGACTTTTTACAGAGAGGAAGGGAGAGGGATAGAGAGTCAGAAACATCCATGAGAGAGAAACATCAATCAGCTGCCTCCTGTACATCCCCCACTGGGGATGTGCCCGTAACCAAAGTACATGCCCTTGACCAGAACTGAACCCGGGACCTTTCAGTCCACAGGCCGATGCTCTATCCACTGAACTAAACTGGCTAGGGCAAGTTTCAGAATTCTTATTTCAAAATTTACTTTCCTGTGTCTAGAAACAACTACTAAACTTCCAAATTTTCCATTAATCTTAAAGGATAAATCTAAGTTCCCTAAAACTTCCTTTTATAGGAATCTAGTATGCCATTAAATGTATTTCAATTTCATAGATATTAAAATGTTAAAATGTAAAATAAAATAAACTTATTTTCCTGACCCTTTTAAACAACATCTGACCTTTTTGCCTTAGAAGACTGTTTTGAGAATGTGCGGGAAGGGAAGATGAAATGGGAAAAATACACCCCATTTAGTATTTCCTTAGAGCAAGGAAATACTAAAAATCTATAAATTAAGATGACAGAAAGGTAATTTCATACTGGAATGTAAAAGCTTCCTGTATATGGTGCCCCTAAGGTTTCTGCCTGTTAAATTTATACTTACAAGGAGGTGGCATATAATGTCGACATGATGAGAGTGAGGCTTGTACAGGGGGCTGGGGCTGGGGCTGTGCAACCATGCTTGACCCATAACCATCTAGTGATAACGGCTGGCTCGGGACAGCAGCAGCAGCCTGATGGCCAAAGATTGCAGCTCGGGAAGAAGAAACAGGGCAGCAGGGGTCAAATGCAGATGCTCCATGAAAACCAGCACTTCCATGACTTCTGATAGCATTGCTGCTCAGGTCCACTGGCAAAGCCTGCTGCATAAAGAGGAATTGTATTTTATCTTTCTAAAGATTTTTAAAACATTGTTTCATGTTATGCTATAAAAGTACTTCTAACGTAATCTAGAAAATAGAATCTTTGAATTAAGAATTTGAAAATAAAATTTTTAGTGTGAAACCTACTGAACACCAAGAAAATACTGTGTATCTTTGATTGTAAAAATTGTAATTATATACTTAAAATCTATAATCAATTTTTAAAAATCAAGCATAAGACCATGCTACAAGATGAACAAAGTTAATTATTACTTTAAGGTCTATTTCTCTTCCATTATCTAGATCTTAGAAAAAAAGAAAACTTTTCAATCATACTTCCATATTCTCCTTTACCCCAAAATTCTGATTAGTAATTTAGGACTTCTTTGAACAACATGTAATCACATTACTGAAAATATTAAGGTTGTAGGTAAAAATTTGTTCTATTTCTAAACTGTGTATATAGCACATATTCAACTGAATCTTAAATAGTGCCAGCATTACCCAAGATAACAAAGGGCATAAGATTCCTTTTATTAGAAACATGAATTTGGGGAAAGTCCATATACTAAGTTGGAAAATAAACCCAAGAGTCTACTCATCAGTAATTAAGTTCCCTCCTCCCCCCTCCAAAAGCACTGAAAACTCCTATGTAAAACACTTTACCTTCTAATCTAAAGCAGATTACAGAAATAGAATTGCTTATTTGTATTAATTTAAATACAAAATCTTTTGCTTAGTGTTCACCATAGCTGTAATTTTAAAAATGTGATTAAATAATATACTAGTAAAGATTTGGTGTTATATATGGAATTATATATAGGAACTATTCAACACTGGAAGCTGAGGGCTGGAGATAAAGAAAGCTTGGGTAATATAAGAGGCCAAGGCCATTCAAGGAGGAAGAATAGTGGTCTCTGTGCTTTCAGTGGGCTCCAGGCTCAGGGGACACCAGAAACAAAAGAAACTGTGGATGCTAAAAGGGAAGGAAGAAGCTGTGGGAAGGTGAAAAAGAATAGGTCCTTTCTTCCTCTATGTTATGTGTCTACAACTAATTAATGCCTGGCCTCTTTCTTTTGAGTTGGAAAATATAATGTATGCCCTCAAATTGGGTAAATAAGGTTCAAGAATAATACTATGAGGTCAAGAGTTTTTATTTATGGTTCAAATCCTTTCGCTATTTTCCTATTTAGGCTAAAATTTGGCAAATGCACTGGAGTATCAACATACTATGAAGGTGAGCAAATTTCCTATCTTCTTTCTCCAGTCACTGATTAAGAACACTCCCAGAGAGTGAGTAAAGTAGGGTGAAGGTCCTCCTGGAAGGAACCGAAGGGAAAGTTACAAGTAAAGAATAAATAGAAAGGGGGAAAAACCAACAAAGGGGAAAACCAATTTTTCACAATTCCAACAGTTCATTCAATTCTATTCTAGAGGGAAGGAAGGATAATCGAGATTGGTACAAAAATGGCAAATATTACTTTACATAGATTATAAGCATAATACTGAACTACTCTTTCAAAAGAGAAAGAAGCCTCACACAAAGGAATAGTAAAGACTATAGAGAGTCAAGTGACTACTGCAACTTCTTTGCTATCAGGCCTAATACTCCCCAATCTTTCTCTGCCTATCCAACAGCTGGCACTCAATCATAAGACTTACACGATCACAAATCCTCAGATCAGTTTATGTCTCTCATTCTTCACTTTCTATTGTGGCCACATAGGTCTCAGCTGGAGGTGATCTCATGAGCATGTGCCTAATTAGAGAGTATTCCAAATGTCTATATGAATCTCAATTGTTCATATTTCCAAAACCTCACTCCTATTCTCCTTCATATCTGCTGTCACCACTGAATGCCTGATTCTGCTGATTTACCTCAAGTTTTGTATGTAGTCCAAATACATCTACTTAGAGACAGTATAAGTTATATTTATTTTATATTGAACAGAAATGTAAGAGACTCTACCTATAATTGAGTCTGTCAGGTTGAAAGAAAATGTGCCATACACAATTGATCTCTCAAACCAGCTCTATTATTTTATTTAACAACAACATTCTATGAACAAAAGGCCCACCTTTTGGCAGCTCTTGAATGAATGTGGGAGAAGTTGGTAGATTCACTTCTTCACCATTTTCCTACTATAATTATAAACCCCTCTTCAGCCCAAATTTCTAGTAAAAGGAAATTTTGCTTTTAAGTAGGGCATTTCATTCAGTTCACTGAAAAGTTTTCCTTTTGCGTCTTCATTCCCAAGAAGTACACAGGTCTAGATGGTTAGTAGATATTAATACTTAGAACTGTTACCAAAACATCATCTAAAATCTTTTAAATCAAATTTTCCACTAAACATTTTAACATTTCTTCTCGATAACAGCACCTAGTTGTGTTGTGTTTTTTTAAGGGAACACCAATATTTCTTAATTATATTTTAATTTGTCAGATGCAGAAGTGATAACCATCAAAATTTAAAGATGAAACAAGTACTTTAGGAAAGGTCAAGGGATACAAAAAAAAAAAAACACACACAAAAAAAAACAGTTGCTCTAAAGTTTATTTTTTAAATTGAATTTATTGGGGTGACATTTGTTAATAAAATTATATAGGTTTCAGGTGTACAATTCTGTAACACATCATCTGTATACTATATTTTGTCCAATATCCCAAGTCAAGTCTCCTTCCATCACCATTTATCTCCCCTTTACCCTATCTACCTACTCGCAACCTCCTTTCCCTCTGGTAATCACCATACTGTTGTCTGTGTCTATGAGGTGCTTTTTTCTTTTTTTGCTTAAACCCCTCATCTTTTTCTTTAACTTTTTCCCCCAGTATTTTTTCTAAGATATAGGTCAGCTACCACTTTACTTTGAAATAACATGTTTTGTTTTCTAAAGTATATACCACCCAAGTTTATATCATAGTAAAAGTTAAAATAGCATATAAACTTGACTTCATTAACTACATGTGACCACCAATACTAATGCAGTATTATTTGACGTTCTGAGTGTTCACTATGATCAACTAATTTACTGAATTATAATTTTTTGCTGATATTTCAATTCCCTATAAACTAAAAATCTCATCTGCTCCTAAGAAACTATGTTACAGGTTTGCATCTGAGAAGGTTGTTTATCTCTAGAGATTCATGGAGATTATAGGGAGCTCCAAAATAGGAGGTAGAGGAGTAAAAACTGGGAGAATTTCTCAATTTCTCATTAAGTAAATTAATAATGCAGTTTCAACACTTTGTTTGAAATACAATCCCAAAGATCAGGTTTACCTGTATTTAACTAAAAAACCAAAACCATTCTAGAATAAAAAATAGTTTCATTTCTGATTTTCTACATCCCTGACCCCCTCTATTAACTGCAATAATTTAGAGCAGGGGTGGAGAACCTCTTTTCTGCCAAGGGCCCTTTGTATATTTATAACATCATTCGAGGGCCATACAGAATTAGGCTGCTATATTTGGTCAAACTCACCCCTTAATGCCTTGGCAGGGCTAGACCAAATTATGTCTTGGGCCTTGTATGGCCCATGGGCCAGACGTACCCCACCCCTGATTTGGACCATCAAAAAATCCTGGAGACTTAAGTAAAAGAAAAAATTACAGACCACTAAATTAGGTCACTTTTGCATGGTCAATAGAATAATGACTTATTTAGCATATAAAAGTATTATTAGGTATGTTTTTTCCTCCTGAAAAAAACAACAACACCCAATATTTTAAAATTTTAGAAAAGAAAGAAAAAGTCATAAATTCCACATACCTGGTCATGGTAGCTGGTACCAGAACTACTATTTGCTCCACAAGGTGCTTGTACTTGTGGAGGTCTTTCCACAGGGCATGTAGGATCACTATAGGAGGGAGAAACTGGGACAGCTGGGTGGGGAGTATGATGGTGGTGGTGGTGATGTTGAAAATGGTGGCCATGCTGCTGAAAGCAACTTGTGTGTGGATGTCCTAATGCATGGTGATTCTGTGACGACCCTCCACATGGCGAGTGCTGGGGACAGCAGGAAGGTAACCTTGGCATTGCAGGAGGGCCATTTTCTGTTACAGCACTAGATGCAGCTCTCCTCAAGTCATCTTGTAACAGAAAAGAAATGCATAGAAAAATCAAATGATCAAATATCACTGTGTAATAAATAGGTTCTGTATATAAATAAGTAAATAAAGAATTAATGTTTAGTAAGTTCTGTAAAAAAGGATATGATAGTGCCACAGTTTAACATACATATCATGTAACTTCTAAAAGTAGTTATAACATACATATTAACATACAGCCTCTCCTCAAACTATGTATTATGTGGAAACTATATAAAACAGATAAATATGGAGATAAAATTTTTTACTTAGAATGTATAAATTAGAAAAGTGGAGAACCGAGCTGTGTCTTTTCCTCCCACATCACGCATATGACCCCGGAGGCATCTCCTCAGAACCCTTAGGATTCTGGAGTACCATTGTTCTAGCCTTATTTCTAGAGTAACTGATACCAGGAATATTCTCCTCCCATTTGGCTCACAGTACCTAGCTGATCTCTTCTGAGTCAATGTACCAATTAGGAATCTTCTGGTTACTAACAAATGGTATAAAAATACAACAAAAACTGGCTGAAACAAGTAAGGGAATTTATGGGCTCACATAAATGAATTTGGGTGGTGGTGCTTTAGGCTCTGGTTGATAGGTTTGACTGCAGCAAACCTCCCTGTAATTCTCCTGGGTCTGCCCTCCCATTCATGTCCTACCCTGCCTTCACTGGTTCCCTTCTGTGGGAGGTCTATGATCTAATCCCTGTTCTGTAGTATCTGTGTAGTTTTCTTTCCAAGCTCCTAGTCTGGCGAATTTGGGCAAATTTCCTGAACCCTTTTGTAAAGGTTCTTAAGCTGGACACTAGAATTCAGGAGTCCGTAAACTTGGATAGAAAAAAATGACTACTTTTTACTAATCTCTTAATTGCCTACTGGATTAGTACTATCTTATTAGCATTAGATGAGAGGTTAAATATTACAAGTAATTTGTAACAAAAAACTATGCAAGTGGACAAGGTGTTTACTTTTAAAAACATAAATTATAGCACTATATCACTTTCATTCATTTGGATTTCAAATTTCTTGAATAACCTGGACAGAGTTACAACCAGCAATCAGGAACTGATTATGATCAACAGCCTATCTTAGCTATGCTAAATCAAACATTAAGTACCTATTTTCTACATGCTGTAATATTTGTAGCAATAAACTCATTATTACAGGAGCAGTACTTCCTGCAACATTTTCAGGGTTTTATCTCAGCCCCCATGTCAAAATGTTGTGCAAGTGAATGTCATTTATTGTGTTACTTCAGGGAAAAAAAAAAAGATTGAAAACCTCTGGGACACTAAATCCATTCAATGGATGGCCTAAATGACTTTCCTGGTACCTTACAATTCTGATACTTTAATTTTACAAATCCAATTATTTGAGGATTTTGTATAACTCAAGAGATGAGTTTGTAACAAGAGCAAATCTATGGATTACAAGAACTGTGACTGGAGTGACAGATATGACACTTACCTTATTCAGAAAGAATGTACACCTTCTATGTTTTCAAATATTTCAAATACAAAACTCAGAGTGAAAGAAAAGGAAGTACAATGACTAGAATATATTTAAGACTGAGCGCATATTTAAGGGGTCAGATCATTAAAAGCGTGGCCTCAAAAAGAAGGCTGGCCTTATAGTTCTACTTGTTAGGGTACAGTTTTGGCCTCCAATTAAATTGTCTATTTTCCTACAGTTCAAAACATCTTTGTTGCTCAAACAGGTTAGCAACTCAAAGAAACAATCAATGAATGCATAAGTAAATGGAACAACAAATAGATATTTCTCTCTCCCCCTTCCTCCTCCTTCTTCCTTCTCTCTAAAATCAAGAAATAAAAATTTAAAGGAGAGTTATTGACCAAAGAAAACTGCCATAAATTAGAAGTGAAATACAGAAATATCTGATCAAGTAAATAAAACATTTTTTATTAAAATTAGCCCAGAGTATCCACCAAAAATGAGACAATCACAAACCTGCACCAGGAAAATTAACTCTACAGACCAGTGATATCAAGCTGGTTAAAGTCCTTTCACTGTAACTGTAGGAGAATTATTGAGATGTAATCATGCATTTATTCATTCACTTGGCAAGTCTTACACAAAATAATGATATGGTAAAGGACTTACAAAAGGCACTGGAGCCTTGGCCGGTAGCTCAGTGGTTAGAATCTCGGTCTGCGCACCAAAGGGTCACAGGTTCCATTACTGTTCAAGGGTGTGGATACCTGGGTTTCAGGTTTGCTCCCCACGTCTGGGAGTGTGCAGGAGACAACCAATTGATATGTCTCTCTCATATCCATGTTTCTCTCTCTCCCCCCTCCCTCCCTTCCACTCTCTTGCTGAAAAAGCAATGAAAAAAGTCCTTGGGACCTAACCGGTTTGGCTCAGCAGATAGAGCATCGGCCTGCGGACTCAAGGGTCCCAGGTTCGATTCCGGTCAAGGGCACGTACCTTGGTTGTGGGAACATCCCCAGTGGGGAGTGTGCAGGAGGCAGCTGATTGATGTTTCTCTCTCATCAATGTTTCTAACTCTCTATCCCTTTCCCTTCCTCTCTGTAAAAAATCAATAAAATATATTTTTTAAAAAATCCTTGGGTGAGAATTAACAAAAAAAGGAAAGGACAGACCTGATCTTTGATCTTCAAGTAGCTCATCATCAAGCATAAAGTCAATTTAAGATATAAATCAATCGGCATTATAACTGAACCACTAAGTTGAATATAAGAGAGAGAAAATGGATTTGTTGTTCCACTTTTTATTTATGCATTCATTGGTTGCTTCTTGTATGTGCCTTAAATGAAGATAAAACCTGCAACTTTGGAGTATCAGGACGATGCTCTAAACAACTGAGCTACCTGGCCAGAGCTTTAACCTCCCTCCATTTATTTTTTTTTTTTTTACTTTCCCCTGAAGGAATAAAAGTTTTAAGGAGAATGAGAGAATTTTGGAATAGCCATTGAGAGGAAGAAAAGGTAACTGATTAAGATACATCATACTATGGCAACTTTCTACCAAAAGCCTGAGATTAGACACCATACATCCAATCTGCTTGGTTCTATGCATTTTGTTAGCCCAATTTAAAAACCTGAATAGAGCAAAACTGGCTTAAGTTTTCCAAGGTTGGAACTATGCAATAAAATGCAAAGTTATAACAGGATAAGAGATCTACCAAAGGACTTGTGTGCATGCATATAAACATTACCAATGGACACAGATACTAGGGGGATGAGGACATGTTCTGGGGGCTGAGAGTGGCTGGGGAATGGTCAATGGGGGAAAAAGGAGACATACATAATACTTTAAACAGTACAGAATTTTTTTAAAAAATGCAAAGTAAGGACAAGATGTGAAGAAAATAGGTGACTGATGTTCTATAGAGTCATAGAATAAAATGAAGCCGTAAGAACTGAGTGCCCCTAATGTATCCTGAATATCTGTATATGCGTCTATCAGGTTTATACAGAGGAACAATCTGGCCTGGAACAAGGTCCTCCTAGTCCAGAGAAATACAACACAAAGTCTATCCATCAATATCGTTACAGTGATACCATAAGGCCATTCAGGTTGTAATGCTGCTACTTAGGAGATTAAATGTGAATCCCGGGTGACCAAGGGTCTTGAATGAATGAATAAATAAATGAAAGATTTGAGACTATCTTGAAATAAAGTTGGGACTCTGTCACATAAAATCCAGATAAGAATAAGGGTACATAAAGCTATCAGGAAAGAGGAGTAAATGAATAGAGTTCAAATCTCTGCCTCAAAGATTATTAACCTTGAAAATATTTAACACTCCAGATTTCTTCATTTCTGATGGGAAGAATAATAACATCAAGAAGTTTTTAAGAATTAAATGATAATATGATAGATAATAACTAAATGACAGAAGAAAAAACTAGCGATAACAATGCTAATTAAAATATCCAATAAATAAAATAAAATATTCTACTAAAAGCCTAATATGCAAATTGTTCAACAGTAGTTCAACCACTCGCTTTGCCGTGCACTACCAGGGGTGGCGCAGAACATGGCGCTGGCAGCAGGTGGCAGTGCAGGTGCTGCCGGCCACAATGAGAATGCAACCTTGGTGGGATGCTGGAGCAGGTGAGCGGGCAGTGCCAGGCCATGGCGGGTGCAAGCGGGGGCCCAATCACCCCACCGATTGCCCCACAGATGGAGATGGGGGCGGGGGGGAGTGGAGGAGGGCAGGGCCACCATTCAGCTCCCAGGCACTGAGGAAGCTGGGCGGGGGGGCCTGGCCCCAATCAATCCCCCTGCAGGCAGGATGGTGGAGTAGGTGGGGGGGTGGTGCCAGGCCATAGCAGGGTGCCAGGCAGGGCTGCGGGGCTGCAAGGCTGGGGGTTCAAGCTGGGACCCAATCCCCACAGACCACCCCAAGAGACCCCACCCATGCACGAATTTGTGCACTGGACCTCTAGTAAGAAATAATCTGAGATAAGAGATAAAACTATAGACTCTTAAAACACAGAGTAAATCCTATGACCTTGGATTAGGCAATGGTTTCTTAGACATGACACCAAAAGAACAAACAAATAAAACTAAGAAAAAAGACATCATCAAACTTTAAAAAATTCCCATCCACTTTCAATTCTTTTGAGTATATACCTGAGTGGAATCATGGGTAATATGATAGCTCTAAATTTAACATTTTTTAAAAATAACTTTTTATTTATCAATTAGTTATTGTACAATATTATATTAGTTTCACACATACAACCCATTGATTAGACATTTATATAACTTACAAAGTAATATCCCAAATAAATCTAGTACCCATCTGACCCCATACATAGTTACGACAATATTACTGACTATATTCCCTATGCTATCCTTTACATCCCCATGACTATTCTGTAACTACTAATTAGTAGTTCTTAATCCTTTCATCTCTTTCATCATCCCCCAAGCCTTTGCCATCTGGCAACTGTCAAAATGTTCTGTATCTATGAGTCTGTTTCTGTTCTGCGTGTTCATTTATTTTATTTTTTAAATTCCACATATAAGTGAAATCACATGGAATTTGTCTTCCTAACTTATTTCACTCAGATATTGTGCCCATCCTAGGTCCATCCATATTGTTGCAGATAGCAAGATTTCATTCTTTTTTACAGCTGAGTCATATTCCATTTTACACACATACACACATACACACACACACACACACCCCTTCTTCTTTACCTATTCATCTATACATGAACACCACTTAGGTTGCTTCCGTATCTTGACTATTGTAACAAATGCTGCAATGAACATAAGGCTGTACATGTCTTTGATTTAGTGTTTTGGGTTTCTTCAGAGAAATACCAAGAAGTGGAATTGCTGGGTCCTTTATCTCTTTTTATATAGCCTTTGTTTTAGAATATATTTTGTCTAGTATAAGTGTTATTACACTAGCTTTTTTTTATTTTAATGAAATATCTTTTTGCATCCCTTACTGTTAGTCTGTGTGTGTGTCTTTCAATCTGAAGTGAATCTCCTGTAGTCAGCATATGTAAGGGTCTTAATTTTGTTATCCATTCAGCCACCATGTCTTTTGGTTAGAGCATTTAATCCATTTGCATTTAAACTGCTGAGTCTTATGGGATCTCACTTGTAGGTAACAAACTGCTTTCCACTTGCTGCTCTTAAAATTCTCTTTGAGTTTAATCTTTGCCATTTTAATTATATGTCTTGGTGTGGCCTCTTGGGGTTCATCGTTTGGAATTCTCTGTGCTTCTTGGACTTGTATGTCTATTTCCTTCACCAGTGGAAAAGTCATTGAAAAGGGCTTGAGTGAACCCAAAATTTGGGATGGACATTGTCTTGGGTGGGAGGGGATCTCAGGGAATCATCAATGTAGGGTGAATAGTGTGTCAGGTTGATAGACTCAGATATAGCATCCACTATCTGGTTTTGTGGGGGATAGGACTCAGCAAAGGAATGACGGAATAGGCCAGCACTTCTATCTGGGAGAAAGCTGCCCCTCCAATCCTTGCCCCAAAGCCAGACAATTCAGTTCCTCCCCATGTCCCTGGTGCCTTTTGAGCTGCTGCCCCAGTGCTGGAGGTTATAGCTAGTGAGTCTGAGGAAGGCCATGTGCATGCCCTTTGAGAGGAACACCTCAGTCTCCAGCAACTCTCCCATCATACTCAGCCACTATCCCTGACGGTTTTCACAGCCAGAAGTTTGGGGACTTCTCTTCCCAAGACTGGAACCCTGGGCTGAGAGGCCTGGGTTGGGGCCCTTCACTCCTAAGAAGGGACCTCTACAGCCGACATATCCCTCCCAATTTTTAACCATCACATGTGAGTATGGGACTAACTCATTCCATGTCTCTGTCCTTCCTACCAGTCTCGATATGGCCTTCTCTTTATGTCCTTAGTTATAGGACTTCTGTTCAGCTAGATTTCAGACAGTTCTGAATGGTGGTTGTTCCGTAGTTTAGATGTCATTTTAATGTGGTTGTGGAAGGATACAAGTACATTTATCTACTCCATCATCTCGACTGGAAGCTATAGTGTTCTAACAATGGCTGTGCCATTTTACATTCCCACCAAATTATTCATAAGGGTTCTAATTTCTCCACATTCTACTCAACACTGGTTATTTTATGATTTACTGTTTTGTTTTGTTTTTAAGTATAGACATCCTATTGGGTGTAAAGTGGTAATTCACTGTGATTTTGATTTGTATTTCCCTACTAACTAATGATGTTTTCATGTAGTTCTTAGTCATTTGTATATCTTCTATGGAAAAAATATCTATACAAATCCTTCAACTATTTATTATTTATTTATTCTTGGCTTCAGAGAGAAAGGGAGAGATAGAAACATCAATGAGAAACATCAATGATGAGAGAGAATCATTCACTGGCTGCCTCTTGCACACATTCTACTGGGGATCGAGCCCCCAACCCGGGCATGTGCCACTGACCAGAATCAAACCCAGGGCTCTTTAGTCCACAGGCTGATGCTCTCTATCCACTAAGCCAAAGAGGCTAGGGCTATCCTTCACCCCATTTTTAAACAGAGTTGTTTTCCTTTTTATTGGTGAGTTGTGTGAGTTCTTTACATATTCTGTATATTAGATCCTTACCAAATGTATGATTTTCAAGTTTTCTCCCATCTGTAAGTTGTCTTTCACTTTCTTGATGTCCTTTGATGTATAAAAATTTTCAATGTTGATTAGTTTAACTTACCTATTTTTTCTTTTGCTGCTCACAATTTTGGAGTCAGACATTTAATTCCCCCAATTTCTTTCAGTTGAGCTATGATACTTTGGCAACATATAGCACACAAACTCAAATATGAAATCATAGTCTAATTCTAACTGAGACTATTTAGCTCACATATGATGTTGACTCTAAGACTATGTTCTTGCTAATACAGCTAAAATCTGAAAAGAATCTTTTAACAAATGTAATAAAAAAAGAGTCCCTCCTCCCCCCCCATTTTTACATACCTCCTATAGAAGTACCAGTCATACTATTGCTTGTAAGAGTAGCTGAAGTCTCTGACACTGTGGAGGATTGGCTACTAGTGACAGCTGAAGCAGTATCAGAGGCCTGCTCAGAGGTAGATGGATTGGAATTGTTAGTGGAAGCGCTTGTGGTTTGTGATTCCATTCTTGCAGAAGTGGTTGGTACTACAGTAGGTTCTATAAAATATAAAATGTTTAGTCAACATTTCAATACAAATTAGGTAATGGGTTATATTTTAATCCAAGCTAACATTTTTATGATAAATGTTAAAGCAAACTTTAATAATATGAACTCTGTAGGAAGTACAATATATAGTAAAAAAAGCTTTCATGAAGTTAAACTGTTAACATTAAAATGTCGTTACTAACGTATGATCACTGCATTTTTAAAAATCCAACAAATGCATATTCTAATAATTCAGACGATTAACAGGGTTTTTGAATAATGATTATATAAGTTTTCTGATCTATCATAAAAAAGAAAAGAGGATAAAGAAAGTAAAAGTTTCTCTGCTATGTTCATACGTATTATTATAAGCTGTCAGGTGTTACAAACAGCTCTTTCCCCTTTTAAGTATGGATTCCAGAATCAGATGCTTGGAAAGTAAGTCTAATTTCACTACTGATAGGACGATCCTGGATAAGTTACATAACCACTTTTCATTTTCTCACCTATAGAATTAGGAAAGTATTCTTCATAGAACTTTCTTCATAGAACTACTGCTAGGATGAACTGAGATCACACATATATAAAGCACTTTGTATGATGCATTACATATACCAATAATTTAATAAACATTATTTTGAATAATGTTTTACATAGTAATCACATAATTAACATTATCTATGATGTATAATATATTTTAATCTCTTTTTACATGTACTTTGGTATGTCTTTCAAAACTTTTTTGTAAATATTCAGCAGTACTTTTTAATAAAAATTTAAAAATTTTGTAGTGGAATGTATAAGAAATTTCAAGCAGATTTTAACTTATGAATGATTTATATTTTAAACTGATTATAAAATAGTTGTTTAAAAATAGAGAATCTAATTGTTATAACTATACAATAACAATCAACTCTTAAAAAGAGGGACTCTCTTAATGTGATGTAGAATGAGAGGACAACTATTTTATATAATGCAGTGTGAAATGCAGACTCCTGAAACACGAATAGTACCTGCTTGGTCTATGGAACATTGCACTCTGGTTCCTTAAACAAATGCATTTGCTTGCAGCTAAAAGGTGAAGGGAGGAACCTATGTTTATTTGCAAATGCTTTATAACAGTTTCTCAACCTTAGCAGTACTGATATTTTGGGCTGGACAATTCTTTGTTGGGTGTGGGAGTGGGGATTGAGGGAGCCTGTCCTGTACAGTATGTTTAGCAGCACTCTCCTCCCAACTGTGAGAACCAAAAACGGCTATAGATATTGACAAATGTCTCCAGGGACACAAAAGGACAGCCAGTTAAGAACCACTGGTCTAATTGATATAGTTAAGTTTTTGGTTTATTTTTAATGAGAGAAAGGTTTCCACTGAAAGAAACTAGTTGGGAGAAGAGGGCATCTACTGATCACTGAAATACTATTAATGTAGTTGAAATAGTTTGGTTAGACTAATTCTAATGGGTTAAAAGGCTACTCTGTCACCTTTTCCTACTTACCAGATAATAGGTGTCACATAATAAACACACAGAAAGTTTTCAAACTAGCCATCCTATATTTAACTAACTCCAATTAACCTTTAATTAATCCCTATTATATTAACCACTGACTTACGGGTAATTTATAATGCTTCAAAATAAAAACCAAGGCACTGTTGAATGAATGCAGGCTATGGAAATAAATTATCTCTTCATAAGCATCTTAATTCCAAAGTACTAGTACTCTAAACTAGGATCATCCAAACTGCAAACAGCCTATCTAAGAACTGATTGCCCAAGGCCTCTATTTCTATCTATTTAATGTATCTTTTCCCCAATTTATAGCTAACCCCCAAAGTTAACAAATTTATACATAGTTGACCACCTCCCTAAGAAAATTATGATTGACCACTTCCTTCTAAGATGAAACTAATAATTCCTGAAGATAATTCTCAACATGTAGGAAAATTCATATATGTAGTCATATATGCAAACATGCTACCACTTTCCCTAATCCCTGTTTACTAACTATAGCTTTCCTTCCTCAGAGCAGTTATAAGCCAAAACAAAACACTAAAACTAAGCAGCACAAGGTACATACTATATTACATTAAAGAATAACATACTTTTAAAAGTAAATGACAGCCCTAACTGGTTTGGCTCAGCAGATAGAGCATCAGCCTGCAGACTGAAGGGTCCCAGGTTCGATTCCAATCAAGGGCATATACCTTGGTTGCGGGCACATCCCCAGTAGGGAGTGTGCAGGAGGCAGCTGAATTGATGTTTCTCTCTCATTGATGCTTCTAACTCTCTATCCCTCCCCCTTCCTCTCTGTAAAAAATCAATAAAATATATTAAAAATAAAATAAAAATAAAAGTAAATGACATTACAAATAACCAGTATTTACCATTTGAATTGTTATAGGACTTTACTGTTGTCCATAATTCAAAAGTGTCATTTCTGCCCTTGTGAGTCCAAAGTGGCTAGGCTGAATGTCATCCCATACAATGAAAGGTTGCAGTTTTGATTCCTGATCAGGGCACATACCTAGGTTGCAGGTTCACATTCCCAGTTGAGCGCATATAGGCAGCAGCCAATTGAAGCTTCTCAATCATATCTATGTTTCTCTTTCTCTCTCTCTCTCTCTCTCTCTCTCTCTCTCTCTCTCTGCCAACTGAAGCTTCTCAATAACATCTATGTCTCTCTCTCCCGTTTCCCCTCTGCCCTCTCCCGCCCATCCCCACCTCCTGTCCTCAGGTAAAGTTTTAAAAGAAAAAATTTTAAGTGCCATTTCTATTTTTTATAGCAAAAGGTAAAGTATGACAATATTATAAATTAATATAATAGGTAAGTCTGAGAATATATTAAACTATCACTTGTAAAAAAAATTTTTTTCTAAGAAAATAACTACCAAGCAATAAAAAAATAACCAGAAAAAATTTTAGGCACAATTACTATATTATAACCAAGGTTATTACTGCAAATTGAAAAATAAGATTTAAAAATCTGAAAACTTCTCTGTAGTTTAATAGCATAGTAAGATATTTCATTTTATCAAGTTTTCTTCATAATTCTACAGTTACTACTCCACCTTACCATCTTCATCAACAGTAAGGTCCACAACTTCTGCTGCATTCTGCCTCAAGGGCTGTATCACAGTAGAAATCCTACTGCGGTTCCGTGGCTCCTGTGGTCGACTTGAATGAGAACTTGAACCTTGGCTCCAATGAGATCTGGAGTGTCCAAGGGTTGAACGAGACCTTAAATGATATCAATATTAAATTAGTAAACATAAAAAAAAATTCAGTTACCAAGAAATAATAAGCCTTTCTTTACAGAGTGAGTTGGGAAATACTTCATGTAAGACTTCTCCAAAGAAATAATGGTCACAAAATTAAAAGTTATGACTAGCACAATGTCTGTCTGGCACTCAATAAATATTTTCTGAATGAAATATTTACCAACCAACTGATCTAAGAATATGAGAAATGATACGTTATCATTTTACACCAATCACTGGTGTGAAATACAGGATACAGTTTCAAGAATAACGCTCTTTTCAATAGTTAGTGTGAATATTCACCCGGGTTACAATCAATTATTTACTTTTTATGTAAATACCTACATTTTTCACAATAGGTAAAGTAACAAAAATATCAACACCAGAACACTTGGGGAGTCCTAAACCAAGCTACCAGTAAGTTTCTGGTACTGATCTAAAAGAGATTCAAGACACTAGAGAAATTTCCTGGGATCAGAAAGGGTAAGGATAGTTGCAGCTAGTTTACTACAGATGGTCCCTGATTTAATGGTTCAATTTAGGATTTTTTGACTTTGCAATGGTTTGAAAGCAAGATGCTTTCAGTAGAAACTGTACTACAAACACTGAATTTTTATCTTTTCCTGTGCTAGCAATATGTGGTATGATACTCTCTTGTGAGGCTGGGCAATGGCAGCAAGCCACAGCTCCCAATTAGCCACCTGACTATGAGGATAAACAATGGATACTGTGTATTCAGTGTGTATTCACTGATGATTTTGCCCAACTTTAGGCAATGTGTTCTAAGTACATTTAAGGTAGGCCAGGCTAACTTATGATGTTTAGTAGGTTAGTTGCATTAAATGCACTTTCTCTTTTTTTTCTTTTCTTGATTGGTTTTGAGATAGAATTGGTATTTAATATTATTTAAATGCATTTTCAACTTACGGTGTTTTCAGCGTTCAATGGGTTTATTGGGATGTAACCCCCATTGTAACTGGAGGAAGATCTGCAATTTGTAGCCTTAAGAAACATCACTTGTGGCAAAACCGGTTTGGCTCAGTGGATAGAGCGTCGGCCTGCGGACTGAAGGGTCCCAGGTTCGATTCCGGTCAAGGGCACGTACCTGGGTTGCGAGCACATCCCCAGTAGGAGATGTGCAGGAGGCAGCTAATCGATGTTTCTCTCTCATCAATGTTTCTGACTCTCTATCTCTCTCCCTTCCTCTCTGTAAAAAATCAATAAAATATATTAAAAAAAAAAAAAAGAAACATCACTTGTTTCAACTGCGTTGTGCTTTTAAAGTATATAATCCACAAACCGTCAACACCTAACTGTTATCATCTTTTTTTTTTTTTAATATATTTTTATTGATTTTTCACAGAGAGGAAGGGAGAGAGATAGAAAGTTAGAAACATCGATGAGAGAGAAACATCGATCAGCTGCCTCTTGCACATCTCCCACTGGGGACGTGCCCGCAACCCAGGCACATGCCCTTGACCGGAATCGAACCTGGGACCTTTCAGTCCGCAGGCCGACACTCTATCCACTGAGCCAAACCGGTTTCGGCTGTTATCATCTTTTAATCATATGTATGGTATTGTATATGTGTACCTAAATTTCTTACCTTGTACATTTCATTACAAATATTTTTAAGGATTCACTGTAATGATCTGAATGACTGAGGGTACAGAGGGTAATATATGCAGTCCTAAAGCTCCAGGAGAAAAATACATGTTTTTGGAAGGTGGGGCTTATGAAGTCAGTGTTTTCTTCTGCCAAAGCTGAATGTAAAACTGCTTATAGGCTTATTGTTACCATGCATGAAAAGAGTGAGCCAAATTCATTAATATTCAGTTCATCAGGGGTGCAAACTCAACCATTCAGAAAAGAGCTCAAGAGTTTTGAAAAGGTTCAAATGAAAAAACAGGAGTATGAAGATTAATTCCTGAGACACAGTAAAAAAAGGACATTACAGCCCTAGCCAGTTTGGCTCAGTGGATAGAGAATCAGCCTGCAGACTGAAGGGTCCCGGGTTCGATTCCAGTCAAGGGCACATACCTCAATTGCAAGCTCCAGGGCCCTGGCCCTGGTCGGGGCTTGTGTGAGAGGCAACCAATCAATGTGTCTCTTTCATAATGATGTTTCTTTCTCTCTGTCTCTCTCCCCTTTCCACTCTCTCTAAAAATCAATGGAAAAATATCCTCGGATAAGGATTAACAAACAAACAAAAAAAAGAAGCCCAGCCAGCATGGCTTGGTGGTTGAGCGCTGACCTATGAACCAGGAGATCAAGGTTCGAATCCCAGCCTGGGTACATGCCCTGGTTATGGGCTTACTCCCTAGTGTGGGGTGTGCAGGAGGCAGCAACTGAATGATTCTCCCTCATCTTTGATGTTTCTATCTCTCTCTCTCTCTCCCTCTCCTTTCCTCTCTGAAATTAGTAAAAGTAAAAATAAAATTAAATAAATAGGAAAGCACATTCCAAGAAGAATTGTATAGACTGAAACATAATAGTAAACAAGTGTCTCAGGATGAAATGGTTTTGGATGAGGAGAGATTACCATTTAAAATTCTAAGAAACCAAGATTCTAATGAGACTGTGTAGTTTATTTCTGGGAAGCTGTTAACAGCTGCAGGAAGTTCCAGGTCCACTTTGCAATACTCTTGTGAAAGCTACATAGGATGCCTTAACTCAAATATTATGCTTAGTGGAGCATCAACAAAAAAGTTGATTTATGGACAGTTGATGCGTGTGGCAACTATTAAATCCTGACACAAAAGAATCTGAAACACAGATGCATTATCTTAAAGAGAAAGGGCAAAGTGCCAGCTAAACAGTGACAAACTTAATACCTTATTTAACAATAAGGAAAATAAATATGGGTCATAAGCACTATGTGCCTCTTTTTTTGTTACTGTTAATCCTCACCCAAGGATATTTTTTCCCCACTGATTTTTAGAGTGGGAGAGATAGAGACATAAAAATATTAATGTGAGAAAGAGACATCAATTACTTGCCAACCACATGCGCCCCATCTGGGGCTGGGGATCAAACCTGCAACCCAGATATGTACTCTTGACCGGGAAACAAACCCGAGACCCTCTGTGCACAGACCACACTCTAACCACTGAGCCATGCCAACCAAGGCATAGTGTGTGTCTTTTTCAAGATCACTGACCATTACCGTGGTAAATACATCTGCTTGAACATTAAGCGTCTCCATGACAAGAAAGATCTTCAGTTCCACAAGGAAAAACAGGTCTGTAATTTTAGCAATCTTTGTTGTTCATAAAAACTCAATGTCATAATAAGCGCTATGCACAGTCAACGGGATAACACTGGCATATACAATGGAGCATCAACTTTCCTCAGAGTCTGGGAATATCATTTAGAACTTAAAACAAACAGGGATATATTATACAGTGGTCTCTTCCATGCCATTAGAAGTTACACTCCAATGGGAAAGTGGCTAGTGGAAAAGCACATTCTAAATATACTTTTGTTGTTGTGGTTAATCCTTACCCAAAACCCATGCCTGGGTTTTGGGCTCAATCCCCTGTCAGGGGCGTGCAGGAGGTAACCGATTGATGATGTTTATCTCTCATCAATGTTTCTTTCTCTCTATCCCTCTCCCTTCCTTTCTCTCTAAAAAATAAATAAAAACATATTTAAAAAAGAAAAGAAAGAAAAACACTAATCTAGTATATACATACTCAAACTAGGTCTCAAAAAAAAAATGGTAAAAGATGCAAATATCTGCAACATAAATGTTTAAACACTTCTACTTAAAATTTTAAATATACAAACTAGCAATTAAAATCTTACCGATAGCTTTCTCCAACTGTTACAATCTCCACTTCACTATCAGTTGAGGTAACATTAATTTCTTCATTGGCAGCGACTTGGGGAGTGGAGGAAGCTTCTATCACCACAACATCTTCATCAATACTTCCTGGAAACAAAAAGAAAAGAAGAAAAAAACACTTAAAGGGCATCTGCCATCTTGCTAATGGATATACAAAAACTTTTATTTTGACTTTGACTATAAAATTCATTACAAAAGTAAAAATCTTACCTGTAAAAATGGAAGGTTTTTTAAAAACAGCTAAACACACATAAAAACAGTAGTACCTATTCTCTTGATCTGTATGTCTTCATGTTTATTTCCTCTTTTATAACTTTTGTTTGTTCTTTACAAAATTTTAGGGGTCTCCATATGAATTTGTATATTATATAGAGATATCAACACTGTTATATCTAAAGAACTGATTTTAAGATCTTATATAAGGTATTCACATTCTATGATATTTACCCTTTACTCTCTAAAATAAAAATACATTTGCTATATATTTTCTCCAAGGTGGTAATTTTCTGTGATATAGCATTTTTCTAAGAAACACAGATATTAGTTTTTGAGTTTTATATGCTATGAAATATATCATTTTTGTACTTGTTTTTTTCTAAATTATTCTGTTTGGAAAGTACTTCCTTATTTGAAGGATGGACATATACTATATTTGGTTCATCTAGAACTAATTTTTGTTATAGTATTAGATAAGATTATAAATACAATCTGGCCCTGACCCTCCCTATTACCAAACCATTTCTTAAAAAATCCTTCCTCTCCCCCCATTAAATTTTGAATCCTCCCGTTTTACGTTACATTTTGAAGCCATCTATGAATCCCCTTTGACCTAGATTCTTAAGTCAGGGTAATACAATATTTTTAAAACAGTTTTTCTGAGGCATTAGTTTCATAATTTAAAAATTCCATAACCAAGAGGTGAAAGCAACCCAAATGTCCATCAGTGGATAAATGGATAAACAAAATGTGGTACAGACATAGAATAGAATATCATCTGGCCCTGATGAAGAAAGGAAATATGCCCTGGCAGGTATGGCTCAGTTGGTTGGGCATCATCCTAGGCATCATACTGTGCATTGAACAATTGCTGGTTCGATGCCCATAGGGAAACATGCCCAAGTTGCAGGCTCAATACTTAGTAGGGGGCGTGCAGGAGGCAGCCAATGGATGTTACGTTCTCACATCAATGTTTCTCTCTCCCTTCCTCACTTTCTGAAGATCAATAAACTATTAAAAATATTTTCTTTTAAAGGAAGTAAATACTATCACATACTGCAACACAAATGAACCTTCAGGACATTATGCTAAGTGAAATAACGCATTATGCTAAGTAAAATAACACAAAAAAACTGTATGATTCCACAGATCCATAGAGAAAAAAGTAGAATGGGTTACCAGAGTTGGGGGGAAAGAGGGAAAGGAAAGTTGTTTAATGGGTATTAAGTTTCAGACTGCAAGATAAAAAAGTTCTGAAGATCTGTTTCACAACAAAATGAATACATTTAACACTACTAAACTGTATACTTAAAAAGTATTAAAACAGTAAAGAAAAAATTATGCTCCATTACTTCTCTTGCTCTAATTTTTCACAAATCTGGTACTGAATGTCTTTATTCAAACACTAAAGGCCCAGTGCATGAATTCGTGCATGGGTGGGGGTACCTTGGCCTGGTCGGAATTCGAGGCCTATCGGGTGGCTGGCCGGGGGAAGGGTCCCCAGGAGGTTGGCCAGCCCGGGGGAGGAGCTGTGGGAGGTTGCCTGTAGTAGTGCACTGACTATCAGGGGGCAGTTCCTGCGTTATCTGCCTCCTGCTGGTCAGTGCGCGTCATAGCAACTGGTCAACTGGTCGTCCGGTCATTAATGGTCACTTAGGCTTTTATATATATACTAGTGGCCCAGTGCACGAAATTCATGCATGGCGCGGAGTGTCCTTCAGCCCAGCCTGCACCCTCTCCAATCTGGGACACCTTGGGGGATGTCCGACTGTGGGATCGGGCCTACACTGGCAGTCGGACATCCTCTCACAATCCGGAACCCTGACTCCTAACCACTCACCTGCCTGCCTGCCTGATTGCCCCTAACCACTCTGCCTGCCAGCCTGCTTGCTCCAATTGTCACCCCCCCACCAGCCTTCTCATCCCCAACTGCGCCTCCTTGCCAGCCTGCTTGGCCCCAACTGCCCCCCTTGATGTCCTGATCACCCCCAACTGCCCCCCCCTTGCCAGCCTGCTTGCCCCCAACTGCCCCCCCACACCGGCCTGATTGCCCCCAACTGCCCCCACCCTGCCAGCCTGCTCACCTTCAGCTGCCACCGCCCCCCCCGCTGGCCTGCTCACCCCCAACTGCCCCACCCCCACCCCCTGCATGCCTGCCCACTCTGCCAGGGCTCTGTAATCAATGCTGCACAGAGGGAGGCCCTGCCCACCCTGCTGGGGCTCTGGGATCAATAGCAGAGCAGAGGCAGACGTTTCCCACCCGGCTTGCATGCACTCTGCCATTAATCCCCAGAAGGTCGCCGGAAGATCTCCTGGGCTAATTAGCATATTACCCTTTTATTAGTATAGACTAGAGGCCTGGTGCATGAAATTCATGCACTGAGAGGGAGGGGTGTCCCTCAGCCCAGCCTGCACCCTCTCCAATCTGGGACCCCTCGGGGGATGTCCGACTGCCGGTTTAGGCCCAGTCACTGTGGGATCGGGCCTAAACTGGCAGTCAGACATCCCTCTCACAATCCAGGACAGCTGGCTCCCAACCGCTCGCCTACCTGCCTGCCTGATTGCCCCTAACTGCTTCTGTCTGCCAGCCTGATTGCCCCCTAACCACTCCCCTGCCAGCCTGATCGATGCCTAACTGCTCCCCTGCCGGCCTGACCCCCCCCCCCCCAACTGCCTTCCCCTGCTGACCCAGTCACCCCCACTGCCCTCCCCTGCCAGCCTGGTTGCCCCTAAATGCCCTCCCCTGCCAGCCATCTTGTGGTGGCCATCTTGTGGTGGCCATCTCTTTATTAAAAAGTATTCTCCTCTCTTCATTCATTACCATCACCTGTCAATGTTAAGGTCAACTAAGAAAGTGTAAACTTGTAAACTACAAATCATGTTTGTATTAAGAATTTTCTCATAATATGAATATTGAGAGCTAAAAACTACACAATTTTAAGTGTACATTTCAATGATCTTAGTAAACTTTTAGAACACAACCACCACCTCATTCCAGTTTTAGAATATTTCCAATACCCTAAAAAAATCCTGCATGCCCTGTTTCAGTCAATCATCATCCCTCCCTATACCCCTATAACTGACCTATTTTCTGTCATTATGGACTGGTACCTTCAAGAGTTCTATAGAAATGGAGTCACACATTACATGCACTTTTGTATGTATACTCAGTTTATTTACTTTGAGATTTATTCATGTTGTTGTATCAACAGTGTATTCTTTTTTATTACAGAGTACTATCCTATCGTGAATATACAATTTATTTATCCATTCTTCTGTTGATGGACACCTGGATTTCTTTCACTTTTGGCTATTTTACAAAAAAAGCTTCTATAAACATTTATCAATAAATCTTAGTAGATACATGTATTTTCATTTTTCTTGGGTAACTACTGAGAAATATAATTTCTAGGTACTATGGTAAATTTATGTTTAACTTTTTGAAGAAATGCAAAATTATTTTCCTAGGAGGCTGTACAATTTTAGATTACCACCAGGAAAATAAGGGCCCGAGTTTCTCTATAACCTCATCAGTAACTGTTATTACCTATTTTTTATTATAGTTGTTCTAGTGAATATATGGTGGTATCTCACTGTGGTTTTGACTTCTATAACTAATGATGTTGAGTATTTTTTCAAGTGCTTATTAGTCACTTTGATAATGTCTATTCAAATCTTTTGCCCATGTTTAATTTGGACTTTGGTTTTACTGTTGAGTTGTTAGAGTTCTTTATATCTTTACATATTCAAAATAAAAGCCCTTTATCAGATATACTAGTTATATTTTCTCCCAATTAGTAGCATATCTTTTTATTTTCTTAACAGTGTTAAAGCAGTCTTTAATTTTGATGATGTCCGAATTAGCAATTCCATTTATGAATCATGCCTTTGGTGACATATTTAAAAAATTTCTACCCAGCTGAAGGTCACGCCTATGTTTCTTTTATTTATTTATTTTTGCATTTTCTTTCTTTTCTTTTTTTATTGCTTAAAGTATTACAAAGAGTATTACATATGTCCCCCTTTTCTCCCCTTTGACAATCCCCCGGCCTCCCCTACCCCCAGTGTCTTATGTCCATTGGTTATGCTTATATGCATGCATACAAGTCCTTCGGTTGATCTCTTAACCCCCCCCCCATTTATTTATTTTTTAAATATTTTATTGGTTTCAAAAAGGAAGGGAGAGGGAGAGAAAGGAAAAGAGAGGGGGAGAGAGAGAGACAGAAACATCAATGATGAGAGAGAATCATTGATTGGCTGCCTCCTGCACACTCCCTACTGTGGATCAAGCCTGCAACCTGGCATGTGCCCTTGACTGGAATTGAACCTGGGACCCTTCAGTCCGCAGGCCAACACTCTATCTACGGAGCCAAACCGGCTAGGGCCATGATCCATTTTAATATGTGTGTTTTACATGATTGTAAAAGGTCTAAACTCATCTTTCTTGCATATGAATGTAAAATTGTCCCAACACCAATAGCTGAAAAGACTAGAATAATTACCTGGTAGACTCAGGTTTTCCTAATTATTATTCACAATTAGAAAATCAAGGGGAAAATAAAAAATTCTAAGGTTTGGATTGGAGTGGCATTAAGCAACAATAATGAAGTCCTGACATGTCTAACATTCATTCCTTCATTTATTCATTTCTTTATTTATATAAACATATATGTATATATGCTATATAAATACACAAAATATATATTTATTTTTCTCATCCAAGAATATTTCTTGTCATCTATAAAAGTCATCTTTTATAAATCTCTAGAAAACCTGTAGGGTTTGGATTGATTATAAAGGTAACTCTCTATAAAGCTAAATAATTTTATTCAGAGGCCAAATATACTCCTATTAAGATTATTCATATATTT